CTTCACTACACATGGTGTACATAGGCACTCACGGCACACACACACACACACGCACACACGTATACAAACCTTCAGACTCACACACACACACACTAAGCTGGCCTTCTATTCGAAGGATTCTAAGTGTCAGCCTGTCGTCACTCATCGGAAGGTGGCACTGCCTGGGCATCCGCAGGGATAAGCTCATCAGCTATCTGCTGCTAGCTGCCGGGCACTCTACTCACTCTACTTTGCTCATCTATTTGCTCTACCTGTATCTGGCTCTAACTGACTCCAACTCTACCTGCGATACCCCCACAGCTCCAGAACCCAGAAGATGCGACAAAACAACATCAGTCATCAGTGAGCCAGTGAGCATCGGACTCGGAGAGGAAGATGACAAGCTTCGGTGGTTCGGCCTGGGTGGGTTGAAGCAGTTTGGGGTTAGGTTAGGGCTAGGGTGGTTAGGGTCGTTCGGCCTGGTTTAAGTTTAAGACTTTAAGGCTTAAGGAGTTCGGAGGTCAGTGTGACGAATGAATGACAAAGCCACCAAGTACTACAACACGTTATCAAATCAATCATTCAGCATCAAGCTTAACTGACCCAGAACCGCCAAGTCCAAATCCTAAACACGAAGGCCTAGGGCCTAGGGCTAGGCCTAGAGTTGAACACCTTGACAAGAGTTCTGCTTGATCGGCTTGGTGCTTCACTTGTTTTCTTGTGCAAGTCATTCAAGAATCAACCCCCACAACAAGCCCCAGTCACAGGCTATGGCGGCAATGTCAAATGTTGCACAGAAGGAAGATAATTCTGTTATTCAGTGGATTCAATAATAGGTGGGATAGACTAAGACTACATTAAGACATAAGAAGCAATCTTCGATCACAACCCGCAGCCGCAGCACAACACTGACAGTTTGGGTTTGGAAGCCTGGGTATGCATTAACTCTCCAGGGCCCTGGCCTCGACAGAGCCAGAGGAGCAGCCTGCAAACAGAGTTTCGTGTTCAAGGTTCAGGGATGCAAAGCAGAGCAGTCATCAAAGGCCGAGCTGTGCCACAGCAGCAAAGGCCACCCAGATGTGCAAACATACCCATTATCATTATCCACTAGAATTAGAAAACTTATACCCTGGCCCAACCCGGCCTATGCTATGGTGGCTATGGGATATCGGATAGTCTTAGATTGCATGTTTTGGCAAACCATGTGAACAATGAGAGACTTGGCACCCCTGTAGTCTGTTTCCAAATCCCGACAGATGGAGCTTTGTGTCGGTGGGCCAAACCCATGGGAGCGCAAAACAGCCACAGAGATCCTCGGCTGTTGTAGTCACCCTGACCCTAAGTAATGGCCCTAACAGCACTGACTAACTAACTAACCAACTAACTAATGTTCACATCCCAAACTCGCTTAAACACTACACTACACTACATCGGAGGAATGAGGAAGCAAAAGATGCTACAGTGCTACAGAACTGTGAGAAGCAGTTGATGCAAAGCGAAACCGAGAGCCCTGACGACAGTAGGACCAGCAGGAGCCCGGGTGATGAGTGTTTGGCCGGGAAGCAGCACAAGAAGAACGAGGAGTGTGAGCACAATCACCCCAGCAGCCGCAGTAGTTCAGTAGTCAGTAGTTTAGTAAAGCAGTAGCAGTAGCAGCAGAGTAGTGGCATTGGCATCGGCCATAGCCATAGCCAGAGGCAAAGCTTCCCATGCCGCGCATACGACATGCCAAATGAAAGGGCAAATCTGTGTTTGTGTGTGTGTGTGAATGCTTAGCTGCTTGCAGGGAGGACTCAAGGTCAACACAGTCAATGCAGGCACATGACATTCTGCGCACTCTCCTGGCCTATCCACACAAACCAAAACCAACCCAAGCCCAACCCTCGCACCTCCCAATCGGACGAAGGACGAGCACCGAGAAACCTCAACAAAGGAAATGTAGGGCACTTAAGGCCGTGTGGGGTGAGAGCGTGGGGACAGAGCAGGGCTCTCCTGTGAAAGGCACTTGCAGTCACTTGCACAGACGAAACCCCGGCCGAAAAAGTAACCAAGCCGACCAAGCCTAAAGCGAAACACGACGAACGAGGCCCAGGCCCACTGCGAAGATGATGAAGGTCCAACCTGGGCATGGCAAGGGGTCAGGCTTGGAGCTTGGAGGACAGGAAGGGCTAAGGCTAAGGGGCAAAAGGAAAGCACAAAGCACTCGTCAGGCACTCCTACATCTTTCAAAGGGTTAGGGCAGCCCTGAATAAGACTTAGGGGTTCGGGTAAACCGGGACAAAAGGGTGGGCTTCGGGAAACCCTCGGCAGCACTCAAGCACATGTTCACAGCCGCCAGTGTGGATTCACTTGGTCATAGCCGAAAGCGCCGAGAAGGCCGATCTTTTGTCGGCTCGTCGGCTCGTCATAAAAGCAGGATGCTACCGAACCTTTCCCAGAGGCTGCCAGAGTGCCAGAGGATCTGCTGTATTCTGCTGTGGATCATTTGGTGGCCTTCTTGTCCGTCTTGGCCTTCTTGACCTTTTTATCCTTCTTCTCTTTCTTTTTTTTCTCGGTCCCAGTCCCAGTCCCAGCAGTCCCAGCAACATCCGAACTCTTCGGATAGGCCTTGCGGTAATCCTTCAGGGTCAAGCCGGCCAGTGTGTCAGCAATGACTTGTTTGCCATAAGTCAAGTCATCCATCTCATCAGTCGTGTCGTACGATGCTTCTTCCTGGATTTCCAGAGCACGCCTTTTCTGACTGATGATCACGATCAACGACGCCAGATTAGCAGTGACCAGCTTCTTCGACATGTCAGCTGCCGCCAAAAAATCTAGCAAGCAATGGCAAACCACCGGCCACCGGCTAACCAGTCCTTCGAATAATTGAGCCCAACAGACAGGCGACCGATGACTTGTACGACGATTCCAATGCAGAACATTTGCAACATCTCAGATTGTGGCAACATGTTCGCCCTGGCTGCCCTAACTGCTCCTGCCAGCTGAGGTCCAGGCAGAGTCCACACATAGATTGGGGAGGCTGCATCACTACCACTGCTGCCTACAAAGTCCTGCGATGCTGATGCGGCTTTCTAAGTCTTACATTTCAAATTCTTAAATGCTTCGAATTAAGAGCTCTGTCAGCTGCTGTCGTGCTTGTGCTGTCTTACTGTCCTATACTGGTCCTACTGCAAGGCATGTGACATGTGCGTGTGATTGGAAGAAAGCGTGCGGCGCGGAACACTGAAATCTAAAGTGTGCAGAGGCAGGAAGGCTGTGGGTTAGGGTGTGCAACAGCAAAAAAACACTAGGGAAAATATGAACAAGCATGGGAAAACAATACAACGAACAATTGAATCAGTAGAATAGAAAAAAAAACAAGCAACTCGTGCCAGGGTTTGTATAGCCCTGAAAGATAAGATAACAAATAGTATATTACTGAACAAATCTGACAAAAGAAAAGCACCATCGGACAGAGCTGTCTTTGTTTGCCTCTCTCTGTTTTATCTGATCTCTCTCTGAGTCTCCCAGCCACCCACCCAGCCAGCAAAACACCCAGCCACCCAGCCACCCATCCACTTGGAAAACAAGTGCACCGTTACCAGAATTGAATGACACGTGGGGGCCTGAAACTGTAGGTTTTGCATTAAGTTTCCTCTATGTTTTCTCTTATTTTTCTGTGTGTTTTTGCTACTGCTATTGATTGCATGTGCATAGAATCTAGCAATCTGGCATAGAGGCATAGAACTGTGGGTTTTGCATTAGGTTTCCTGTTTTTCACTATTTTTCCTATTTTCCCTAGTGTTCTTGCTGTTTATTGGTCCGAGAACTATGGATTTTGCATGAGGTTTCCTGTATTTCCCTATTTTTTTCCTATTTTCCCTAGTGTTCTCGCTGTTTATTGGTCCGAGAACTATGGATTTTGTATGAGGTTTCCTGTATTTCCCTATTTTTTCCCTATTTTGCCTAGTGTTTTTGCTATTTTCTGGTTTGCTATGATTTGTTCCTTTTTTTTTCCTATTTTTCACCTATTTTTCACCTATTTTTGTTCCTTTTTTTTTCCTATTCTTGCGCTATTTTGGGAATACCAATTCCTATTTTTCCGCTACCCGGATCCTATTTATTTTTTGGATTCCTATTTTGGATTCCTATTTATTTCCTATTTTGGACGTATTTTATTTATTTTGAACTCGGGCCACCTTTCCATGTCATTCCCGTCTTAATACTACTACCACCACAGCTGTAGTACTCGAGCCAGAGATGCTCGATCTCCACTCGAAACGCACTAGGCTATGGACGTCATCATGGTTGGGCCGTGGATGCTCAAGACCTGTGTTTTCGGCACACGAACCCCAGGAATCACAGTGCAAAAAAAAAGATGCCGAGAAGTGCATGAAGTACCGCGCAGGTCGTATTGTTCCTCGCTTCGACCGCAGAAACGGTATGAATGGCATGTGCGGTCTGCACGTCTTCGTTGCATGGGAGCCTACGACGGCAACAACAACAGCAGCAGCAGCAGCAACAGCAACAGCAACAGCAACTACAACAGCAACAGCAACTACTACTACTACTACTACTACTACTACTACTACTACTACTACTACTACTACTACTACTACTACTACTACTACTACTACTACTACTACTACTACTACTGCTTCTGCTACTGCTACTGCTACTGCTACTGCTACTGCTACTACTACTACTACTGCTACTACTACTGCTACTAGTACTACGACTACTACTACTACTACTACTACTACTACTACTACTACTACTACTACTACTACTACTACTACTACTACTGCTACTGCTACTGCTACTGCTCCTGCTACTGCTACCACTACCACTACCACTACCACTACCACTACCACTACTACTACTACTACTACTGCTACTACTACTACTACTACTACTACTACTGCTGCTACCATCCCTATGATACTTCTGCTGATACTACCGCCTCATGTGAGGCAGCTGATAAGCCCGAGTCGAGTCTGGTGCGGAGGATCGAAGGTACAGTGCTGCGGCATCCTCTTGCATCAACCACACCCCGCAGGGCTTGATGCTCCCTTAACCATCCAGTCAAGAAGCATCACCACATGGCGGATCCCTGGGATTGTCTCATCCAGGCGAAATCTCTCCAGACAACAGCCCATGCCTGCTACGAGCTGGCCCAATACCACGGAATACGCTCGAGCCAGACAAGAGCCATGTCTTCGGTGCCAACCCGTGCCTGGGTCTGAGGTTGCATAGGCATTTCTGCTATCGAGAACTGTTCAGCACGTGGTCTTCCGAAGGCCATAGGGTCAGGTTCAACCATGACTGCGACCCAGTCTCCTGCCACAAGCCCTCGAACTCTTTGGCCAAAGGTAGCCACCAAAAATTCCAAAAATGTAACAACCGAGACATGCACCGAAACCAACGGCGAACTACTGCCAGTCGTGACTGCAGCAGGGATTGAGCCGACTTTATCCCCTGCAGGCCCGGTTTGCCTTGGACAGACGATACGTTGGGTCACCGCCAGCAAAGTGCGAGACGTTGTAGTTGTAGTCCTAGTGCCAATACGCTTGTCAGCAACATCTGACATCATCGCGGACATCTAGGTGGCGATACTGTAACAGGCTTGTCATCAGTGCAACTCAGATCGCTGGGGTTTCCAACTCGTCTTTGCAAGGGCGCCAAATACAGGGCTATGCACTGAGCCACAGCAGTGCTGAGTTCCACACATTGCTTAACAAACAAGGAACAGTGGCAATGAAGCAGCGTTGGCAAAACCATTTTCGGAGCTTACCCAGTCGTCTCATGAAGCATGTCGCGTCTGTTTTGTTCAAGGACGGCTTTGGCATGGCAGTTTTCATCTTCTGCCTTTGGTGACTCAAAGGGGGACTGTATATGCATGAGCACAGAAACAAGAAAGGCTCTGTCATGCAGTCATGCATGACTCCTACGAGTTCATGGCGACCGCCCAGCATTGGAACATATTGGAAACCAGTCCTCGCTGAGAAAATCCCGGTAACTCGCCTGAAACTCATTGGGGGAAGGCAGTTCGGCTGATCACGCTCTGCTCTATCACCAACAACAGCCATCGTTCCGAGCTGCCTGCCCGCCAGTTGTCCACGGTCATACCGGACACATATGCATCCTTGCAGAAAGCTGAATCATACGCTATCGTAGTAGGTATCCAGCGAGGATTACGACGCTCCGGAAGACGGTAGATCAAGACGACAGGACAGGCAGTTGACGGTCAAACAGCAGGAACAAACAAGACAAGGCCATCTTACTTCCGGATGCACGTGCCGACCAGATCAAGATGCATCTGACAGTTGAGTGTCAAGACTTGCACGGAGCAGCGTTGATTACCAGTTAAATTGCTTCGTTTTGGCCTGGCCGTGTGCGGTCCGAGCAGCAGTGAAGCGCGCCAGGTCTCGAAGACGCGACGGAGCGCCTCAGGAGCACAGGGAAGGTGAGCGTGTTGGGCGTTGATGGCGTTGAGCGTTGCAGCGTGTCCGGTGTGCCCCGGTTCCTCTGCTGCAGCTTTCTGCGAATAATTATGCCATGCCAAAGACTTTTTATCGTCCTCGGAGCTGCGGTGAACTGCCAGCGCATACCCGCCTCTAGGCTCCAAGCAAGTTGGGAAATTCGACCAGAAGCGGTACGCCAAAGGGACCGCGGGACATGCCAGGTGCTGGTACTCTGGCCTGCCGCCACTCACTGCAGTGCATTCTGCTGCAGTCTTGCTTCGAACGTATTGGATAGTGTCAGGTACTGGGATTCTAAACTCTTGGCACAAAGGCTGATAGAAATCTCGGACAGTGAGGGTGGAGGCTGGAGGCGTCATACTTCGGACCTGGCTTGCTCACTGGATTCACATGTCTCAAAGAGGTTGAGTGAGTGCAAACGCTGAGGCTGAGCATCGAAGCTCTGCACTTACATGGCGGTTCGCTCGCACCCGATGCGGCCACTGCAGTTTCAGTCTAAGGAACAGGAACCATGTAACCACATCCTTAGTATTGCTGCCACACGAACCTTGCACGGCTTTAACACATAGTAACGAATAACCTACTGGCAGTCAGTTTGACAATTTTCACAGCAGTGGTGCTGCAGAAGCCCTGGTATGCATTGAACCAGCATGACGAAGGATGAAGATTAAACAGATGGGAGAAGCCATAGTTCTGGTAATTACTAGTAACAATCACAACAAATGCTAGCCAGTTTGTACCAGTCGTCGAATTGTGGCATAAATTAATTCGTTTCAGGGGAAGCACAAACATCATGCGGGCAAGGACCACACAGTAAGAGCAAGGCTGCAAATCACACAAAAGGTGCAACTGGCAAAGAAGAGCAAAGTCGATAGCCTCTTCTGCACGACACAAGAACGGTAAGATGCTTATGCTGTCCACCAACACAAGAACAAAAGCTTCATGAGATTTTTGAGCGCATGAAATTTAATGTGCTTTCGCATGACTCGCAGCGTCTCTGCCAAGGAGCCTCCTACAAAGGATCCGACACCTTCTAGGCTGGGTCTCGAGGGTTTCAGGAGCCATTCATACAGCCATGAATGGATCGCCTGAGGGGACCTGAGCTTCGAACGTTCTGTGGGCGTTGTAAAGTTGGTCGAATTCGTCCCCGCCAGCATGCCTCAAGGCTCGGAAGCTGCGAAAGCGTGAGTCTGATAGGTCCTGGTGGCAGCTGTGTGACGAAGCTCCGGACACGAGAATGGTAGTGCATATGGACGAACTGGAGACGACAAGAGCCCTCAGGAGCTTTGAAAGTCTCCAGACTCAGCGGAGACTGCAGGACCCGCAGCTGTCTCTGGACTCTAGACCTTCAGGTCTTCGGGTTCAGGCTGCCGCATCAATCCGAACACGGAAGTATTGTCCTTGAAAACTTGACTTTCCCAACCTACGCTGGTCGTCCCAAACGTACAAGCCTCAAACCCGGCACGAAGCTTTGACACAAATCCATGTTCGAAGACTGCCGAATTCGTCCTGCCGAGCGCATCTTCAGGGCCCGGGCCGTTTGTGATAACGCCAGTGCACGAACTCGTATTCCCACAAAGACCAGCCTCTTCAGGTGAGGGCCAACGGCAAAGCCTGTTAGGGGCACTTCCTTCGACGAAGCCCGAATGTCGGTGAAAACAATAAGTCGGCTGGCAGGATTTTGGAGTTGATCACATGGCTTGGTTGGGTGATTTGAAGATACTTCCGTGCCCAACTAAACAGTCTGGAACTGCACCACTCCGCAAACAATGTGCGTTAAACAGTTATTATTGGTGTAGGAGCAGGACATCCTCTTTCGGTTCCCCCCCTTCAGCATTGCTTGCCGCACTTGCAAAGGTGATACTACATAAGACAGTGCGGCCACAAGGGAATCAACTGAGATTGCTGTTTTTTGATGGTCTGGCGCATGTGCGCATGCCTGGTCGACCATGCCTTCTGCCTTCCTGCATGCAGGGTCGCCTGCTCTCGGAGCGGGATCACAGAAGAAAAAGCTGTTCCTTTGACGTGAACTGTCTTCAAAGCGCCTACGCTTACGAGGCGGAAAAAGCCACCCTTCCCCACAATCCACAAACAAGGTTGGGGGAGACCGTTTCCGGGAGCCGGATAGCACCCCGGATCGGCACTCACTTAGTTACGCACCCGCTCACCCATTCTCGTCTGGTTCGCAGGACCGTGCGCGAGCCATCCCAATGCCCGCCTGCCAATGCTTCGGCAAGTTCTTGTTGTACCTCCATGAAAGCGGCAAATCCCGCAGGGTCTGGACCTCGGTCTAAAGAGGGCAAGAGGCCTCTGACTGCTGGATGACTGGAGGGTGTGGCAATCAAGTCAAGCTCTGCATCTGAGATCAAGCAATGATACTCTAAACCGTAACCAACGCAGCCGCTGCCGTCGTTTTCCCAAACCCACGCGTTCTTTATTATGCTTCCAGGTCTCTGGAACCCAGTCTTTGGCTCAGACTGTCCGCTCTTTGTACAGAATTTACACAATGTATTCCTTTTAGCCCTGGCCGGGCCGTGTCTCGAAGCCACTGGTGGCTGCAAACGCTGCAGTCGTCGGCGAGAAATGCAGCATCGGCTTAAGACGTGGTATGCTGCTTTTAGCACTGTACATGCCGTTGTGCAACACCTGCACAAATTAAAAGGCCAAGTTCTTGTAAGGCAAAGGCTGAAGGTGTGGAGAAGCCCCCGAACTAGCTGCACGCTTGAAGACGCCTTCCTGGTCTATTCGTCGGTATGGCTTAACGCGCACGCCTTGCAAAACGTCCAGCACCTGAATGGATGCCAACTTGAACAGCCACTGCATTACCTGCACAGTTCTGTCAAGATCGTTCTTAGACGCGATGCGAGGCTCCGCTGGAGGTGAGGCCATACAACGACAGGATAATGGTCGTGTGACTTGAGTGACTGCAACGAGAAAAGTGTATAAAGCTTAACAAACCAGGTCACCGAATTTCCCACGGACTGGCTCGAGGCCATCGCAGACTCCAGCGTCGAGAATGGCACGCGCAGCACCATGCAATCTGGCGCCGCACAGGCACTGGCATGCCAAGTCGGAGCCCTGCCGCTGCAGAAAGCGCCGAACTCAAGTGCCCCCAGCACTGATCCATGGGTCAGCTTGCGAACGCGGATATCCAATTCTTCTTCAAAGGCGAAGGTATCACCCTTCTCCTCATTCAGATGGTGCCTGGGCACCTTGTAAGCTAAGGCTTCGTCCGGACTGATCCTCTGAACGATGCTCACCGACCCGCTCAAGACATAAGTCAGGTCCTTGGCTTGCTGACCTTCCGCATAGAGTTGCTCTTCGTTTCGGTAAGTTTTCAACTTGCTGCCGAACTTCGCTAGTTTTTCACCAACGGCCGCCCGCTCCTCCGCCTTGGCTGTTGAGGCTATCTCCAACAAAAACTCGCTGACGAAGTGCAGGAGCTCCTTCTCGTCTTGCTCTTTCGTTGCGGGGACCTTCTCTGCCAACTTCGATGCCAGCAGCTGATGCTCTGAGCGTTGCGACTTCAATCTTCCCTTCTCGCGACCTGAAAGGAGCCACTCCTCAGCCCACTCCAGCATCTTCTCGACGCGGTGTGAGCTGATCTTCATCTCCACCTGACAGGCGCGCAGACATCTGTCCAAGGACAGCTGCAGGCGGCGCACGACACCGCTGATCGCAAGGGTGACAGCCGGTCGTCGCCTTTGGCACTTCTCGGCAAAGCTGACCAAGGCCTGGACTCCCGATGCATCTACAGCTGGGACCTGCTCGAAGTCAAGAATAAGGATGCGTGTGGACGGGGATGCATCCAGCGATGCCTGCAGCTCTTCGACGATATCTTGGGCTGTCCCGAAGAAGATGTAGCCAGCACACCAAAACACTGCGACTTGCCGTCCATAAGTGTCAATGATCTGGTTCTGTTCATCGTCGCGCTCGACATGCGAGCGCACCTCCGACAGTGTGGCTTTCTGCGTCACACCTGTCATGCCAGAGTACTCCACCATGAAAAACACGGTGGTGAGAACTACACCGAAAAGAATGCCGAGAAGGACGTTGAGGTAGGTTATGACAGAGGTCGCCACGACAACACGCCACTCAGTGGCGGCGATGCGCTCCCGTGATTCCACCAATGAGGTTGTCAAGAATTCGAAACCCAAGGACACCACCAAGGCCCCAAAGGCGCACTTCGGAATGAAGCTGAGGCTTGATCGCAGTGTGGAGTCGAAGTACAAGGCCATGTAGCAGACGGAGAAGAGGAGCACCCACCACCGCGTCTTGGCCCCTGCATCCCGCATGACCACCCATACCTTAATGGCATGTGAGACTGGGACACCTGCGAAAGGAGCCAGAGCGATGTTCGTCTTCCCCAGCAGGCGGATCTCCTCTCAGGGCGCAGAGACAGCCCGACCCCACCCTTCAAAGATGCCGATTTTTAGGCTTCGCAATTCCAAAGATCCTTGGCGAGCTTTATCTCTGGATCCTTGGCCATGTCCTGAAAGCCTACTGTATAGAAAGTGAAGGCCAGCGTGCTGAGCGCGGCGTAGGACACCAAGACAGAGATACAGGGTTGGCTGAAAAAGGCCCGTGCATGGAAGGATCCAAAGCCGGAACCCAGGAGCTCCCACTCCACGACCCAAGACTCGGGCCGGAGCCCAGATATGAAGAGGCCCCAGAACTGCAGCTCTTCCAGGCTCAGTGGGTGGAGGTAGAGGAAGCCATAGACAACTGAGCTGATCACTGCTAGGCCAAGGGGAAGACGGATGGCCCTGCCCCAGGCGTAGTGATCCAGAACCTCCTGCGAGGACATGGGAAGCTGAGAGGGCTTAGGGCTTAGGGTCCAGACGTTGGGAAACCTGCTGAACATTGCTGCTGGTACGATCATTGATTACAGTGGAGGCATGCCGTCCTTGAGCCCCAAGAAAATGCCGGCACCGACCAGGGTCAGGCAAAGCCGGAGAAGTAGGGCAATCCCAGCATGTGTCACCTTCGGCCGGTGACGACAGTCTTGTGAGTGTGGGCGAGCGATTGCGGTTGTCAGAAGTGCTACAAACTACAAACAAACTGCTTCCTGGAGGAGCTGCCTCCCAGTATGTGCAGTATGTCCGAGTTTATCGTAGTACCGTCATCTTGTTGGCTGGGATGATGTCTGGGGTTGAGCTGGACGGATTCCGTGCTATCATTCCGTTCGACCAGACCCCACTCTTCGAGTCCTTATTCAGTTCCATGACAGTAGACAAGTATTGTCTGGTCGCTCAAGGCAATACCCAGGCCTCCAGAGATTGGGCAGCGGTTAGGAGGTCTGCAAGCAACTGAAGGAGGCCCTGGCCACCTGCAGAAGACGCGGGCTGGGAAGGTCTTGTCAGCAAGACGGGACATGCCAAATCTTCAGCAACGTCACAAACGACCGATCGTAGCAGAACACATGAAAATGACAACTATGAACTTCTCGTTTGCACTTTTGAGCTCTCGTGCATGTACTACCAGTGGTGATGTTGCGATCAAGCTTCATGTTGATACTACTAGTTGCATGTCAGTGCAGGAGCGACTTTCCAAACAAGACTAGACTACCAACGCTGCCGGGCCACATCCAAGTTCCAAGCCGCCATCGAAGATCATCATCCTTTGCCGGACTTGGGTACATGCAGGCGTCTACGAAGAGCCAGCTCAACCTCAAACACCATATCTCCAGCCAATCCTCCGTCCCACCCCCCCCCCCCGGGCCCGACCTCCCCGCCCCGCCACAATTCTACACTACACCGAACCCAGCAAGCCTAGCAGGGAGCAATACAGTCCAGACTCAAAACCTCATCCCCTCGATCACTCCCCACAGCTCACCTCATCATCCGCGCCATCACCGTCATCATCCTCAGCATCGTCATGATGCTTCAGCCGGGCGCAACAGTTCGGGCTCGAACTCAGGATCTGCGAGGTGCGAACCAAAATGCCTGCCCAGGCTCCCAATGCCACTGACGAAGCCTGCGCTGACAGGGTATGGCAAAAAGCGCATGTAGTACCTCGGCCGTCCAGTAACATCTGTGACAGCAAAGCACTGAGTGACGCGTGACATGTCTCCTCGTGCTCGGACTGCTTCGGCTGTTTCTGCGCGCACGGCATGCGGTGGGTCTCGCTTGACGGTGCTGCCGGGTGTCTTTGCACAAGCTCCCATCTTGCAAGTTGTCTTTGCTGTGAAGCAGCTGAACCAATCTGCAAGAGTTGAAGAACAAGCTCAGTCAAAGCACAGCGCAAACCGATACAGTGTAGAAGAAAATAGTCTGAACACGGAGCTGTGACCCAGGTTGTGGGTGCGGGCGATGGTGGGTGGCAGCGGGTGCAGGCGGGTTCTGGTGTAGGGGTCGAGGTTTTGAGTTGAGGGTTGTCGTTTGAGGTGTGCCCTAGGCATGCCTGAGGAAATGGGGGCCAACCACACACAAGCTCGGCTGTGGTGGTGGTGGTGGTGGTGGTGGTGGTGGTGGTGGTGGTGGTGGTGGTGGTGGTGGTGGTGGCGGTGGTGGTCGCCGTCGCCGTCGCGGTCGTCGTCGTAGTAGTGGCAGCAGCAGCAGTAGCAGTAGCAGCAGCAGGAGTAGTAGTAGTCGTCGTCGTAGTAGCAGTAGCAGTAGCAGTAGCAGCAGCAGTAGCAGTACCAGTAGCAGTAGCAGTAGCGGCAGCAGCAGCAGCAGCAGGAGCAGGAGCAGGAACAGGAGCAGGAGCAGCAGGAGGAGCAGGAGCAGGAGCAGGAGCAGGAGCAGGAGCAGGAGCAGGAGCAGGAGCAGGAGCAGGAGCAGGAGCAGGAGCAGGAGCAGAGCAGGAGCAGGAGCAGGAGCAGGAGCAGGAGCAGGAGCAGGAGCAGGAGCAGGAGCAGGAGCAGGAGCAGGAGCAGGAGCAGTAGTAGTAGTAGTAGTAGTAGTAGTAGTAGTAGTAGTAGTAGTAGTAGTAGTAGTAGTAGTAGTAGTAGTGGTAGAAGCAGTAGCAGCAGCAGTAAGAGTCGGAGTAGGAGTAGGGATAGGAGTAGTCGTAGTAGTAGGTGTTGTTCTTGTAGAGGTAGCTGCAGTAGTAGGAGTCGGAGTGAGCGTAGTGCCAGTAGTCAGTAGTCGTCCTCCCTCGAGGTGCGGACTCTCTACTGGACTACCGCGACGAAAAATCACTGATATGCTCGTGGCAAGAACAGCCACCAGCAACGACAAGTTTGCAACAGGGCATCAGCACCCGGAATAGATCTGATCAACCGACTCATTGCAGGAGAGCTGCAGTCCATCAAGTTCTGCTACCGTCCACATCAGAATTCCAATGACCAGTGACATGAGCCCTTGCGCGAGGAAGATATGGAACCTGATCTGCTTCTGCCCTTTAGCACCAAACCAAACTGCCGAAGTGCCCGTGTATGCCACGAGGTTACCATTGCCATAAACTCATACCTGTCCACAGGCACATCTGCATCTACATCTGAAAGTCTACACATGCACGAACATGTCCATCTACAAGCACATACACATTCCTTTACATGTACATGTCCATTACATACCCACTTACGAACCCAGAATTCCATACATGCACATGCGCATGTGAATGCATACACACCTACCTACATGCTTACCTACCTACTCTAACTGCCTCCCTGCCTCTGCATGACCACATGCCGTCACACACAACTACCACATACAGACATTGACACACGTTGACATACCTACCGGCATTCGTTGACATACACGCACCTACCTACCTAACTGCCTGCCTACCTACCACCTACCAATGCACATACGTATATAATTAAATACATATATGTGAAACGTCCACACACCAGGAAATGAAGCCGAAGCAAGGTTACCCTGTATGCGGCGTCAGTATCGCTTTGCATTGACTCGACGTGTCCGTGCTTGTCATGGCTCGCCTGGAAGCTCTTTTGGAGCGCAACCAGTCCGCTACCGCTACTTTTGGCTTCTACCATGCACCCCAGGCACACAACGACTGCGACCAGGAAGCAAGAGCGCGTCGCTCGGGACCCCAGCGTAGGTCAGCGCCCGGCCCATGGCGGCCAAGTAAGCCGCCTGGAGCAGGTCGACGTTGGTGCAAACGCCTTGGCGCAACAGAACTTGTCAACCAGCGATCTGCCACTCAGCACACGCACGGCTTGCTGAAAGTCCTGATAGCGTCCCAGCCATCCCCACGAACGACCAAAGTGACGGGTGCTGCCGTGGTGCAGTGTTGCGAGCAGCGCCAGAAGACCAGAGAGGTCATGCCCTGGCTGAAAAGAAGTGAAGCAAGCAGAGTCGGGAAGCTCTTCTCCAGCGAAGGATTCGCGGCAGCTACGACCCCGACGAAGCTGACAGCATAAGGGAGGAGCACCTGGGCATGTCGCTCCGGGCTTACATCTGCACTGGGTGGTGCAGAGCAAAGCTGGGCACCCATCAAGGACAGTGAACCAACGAACGCGCAAACACCATCATGCGGCATGATGGACGCAACGAAGCTCTTCTGATTTAGCGGACTTCATCGCGGGAATTCGTCTTCCTTCAGGAAGAACATGTGTTTGCTCTGAGATCCAGATTCTTACAGCCACAGCCACAGGCGAAAATGACACACCCACAACAATGAAACGATCATCGGCTCAAGTCCGGGTGCGTGAACACGTGCGAGCGAAAACCAGCCACGACTGGATTCGCTCCAGACATCCACATCACAACCGCACTTGTCGAAATTGCAGCTGGACAGTTGAATCAAGACGCCGCACTGCCGAGCACCGGGGACAGCAAGTCCTGAGTAACAAAGCTCGGCTTGTCTTTGGTGGGCACGAAGGCCAACGCCTCTTCGTCATGCCTCACCTGCACAAGGAGTTAAAGACTGGGTCCTCTAGCTAGGCCAAAGCTCAGGGAGAAAAACGAAAGCACCAGGATCCTAGGCTGCGTCCCCCGGCTCTTAAGCTCCAAGATCGGAGAACGCCTGATCATCGATCTTCTGGAGGTCGTTCATGGCAGGCAAAATTCAGGATCCAGCCGATGCTGCAGCACAGGGGAACATGTGGCATCTGATGGCAGGAGCCCTGGGCTTGGGCTTGGCTTTCCGAGGCCGGTGAGGCGGAGTTCGTCATCATCACCACGACGACACCAACGACACCAAGATACACCAAAGACACCACACCCAAAAGTAACTGCGACAGAACACTGCACCCGCCACGACGACGACGACGACGACAGCAGCAAAAAAACAAAAACAAAAAACTACGACAAGGAAAAGGACAAGCACGACGACTGTCGCAACCTCCACCACGATGCCGCTGTCGTCATCGTCGGCTGGGCTATTGATTTCTGTGCTGGTTTCAACATCGTCGTCATCTGTATCCCAAGCCCATCAGCAGCATGCAAAACTGCTCGCTATTCCCTCAGGGCAGCGCTTCGGCCCGCCAGCTTCGCAAGCCGATAGCCCTCGGGTCATCACGGCAAGTAGGTGCGAGTCACTTGACCGGTAGACAGTCACAACCGTTTGGCGACGCATGTTCTTGAGCTTAACGCAGTTACACAGAGAGAAAGTCCCAGGCAATTTGCTCATCTAGTCTGCATGCAAGAATTGGCCTGGCTGATGAATTCAAGCGGCGGTCTCTGCACGGATGACTTCGTGCATGATATCCTTCCAGAATGGAATAAGTGCATCGCTAATCTCTGAGAAAATCATTTGAGCACGGACATACTCTCAGTCCATTGCCTGTTGACAGACTCTATCTTCAGGGTGCGACAGTGATGTGCTGCTGCCGGGTCCCTAGTCCCTACCGAGCACGAAACACAAGCGGAGCCAAGCCCCCACCCCGTGCTTGCAGCTGTTTCAGATGCAATGCTAGGAGCCAGGCATACTCGTGAAGACTTCGCTGGGCGATGAGGTGTCGCGCGTAGGTAACAACCTGACTGTGAAAAAACCTTTCTCAGCCTTCCGGAGACGACACACGTACCCGGCCACAGTCGCTTCCTACGAGACATGATCCTGCTCATGGGCCTTGAAATGACACAGCTGGCCGTATCTGGTGAGACTCGCGGATAACATCGTGCACGAAGCCTCGCTGCCAATCTTCCGACCGTTGCCCAGCAATCCTCTTCGTCTTGCACTGATGATGAAGATTTCGACGGCGATCATCATCATCATCATCATCATCATCATCATCATCATCTCGATCATCATAACGATGATGATGATGATGATGATAACAATGATGATGACGATGATGATGACGAGGATGAGGACGAAGACGAGGACCAGCATGTGCATGATGAAGAGGAGGAGGAGAGGATGACGATGATGATGATGATGATGATGATGATGATGATGAGGCGGCTGCTTCCGCAACATGCTGAGCTTCGATCTGCTTTCATGAACAAATCCGGGCACTCGATCTCGTTGCCTCGGAGAGTGGTCAGGAAACCCTCTGGGCTTCTCAGGTTATTGTTTCGAATATGGGTCAACCCCCTAGCTTTTGCATCGCCTCACGTCTGCGTGGTGCATACTTCGTGGCACGAGGCATCCCAAAGTCTGATGGCACTTGCAATCCACTCTCTCATCAAAGATGGCACTTGCTTGTTATTCGGGGTGGCGTGATTTTCTGTTATCGGTGGCATCCCAGCAAGAAACTTTCGCAGCAGGACGAGTGCAGGGCCTGCAAATCCGAAGATCTCGAGAGCACCATCCAGAGCATCAGCATCGAACCTTGTGACAAAGCATTGGGATGATGCCGGCTCCGGGCTATGATGCATTCCAATCCCAGATGTGTGTATATAAGTTTACCGCGGTAGCAGCTGTTGCATAAATCTCTGCTGCATTTCAAAACTCGGTGGAGATGCTTTTCTGAACAAAAAACGGAATGCAGCACCGGTAGCTATGGAAAATTAGGCCGAAGCCCAGCGCACTGTGCACTACTACCCTGCCTGCAGCTTTCCGGGATGCGCTCCGACGGCTGCAGGGTGTCTGGACGGCTAGGCACCTGGTGACCGATAACACCAGAGTTCCGTAGATAAGCCCCTTAATTCCTTCATTCAGGCCTGGCGTCAGAATTTGACAGAGTCTCTCAGCAGTTTCGGAGGCCTTGTCCACAACCTCCGAGGCCACTTCGTCCAAGAGCTGGCGACAAAGTCAGTGCTGAAACAGCATTCTAAGGTTTAACCACACAGCTTGTGGTCAAGGACACATGTACTAGATGCTGAAGCCAGAATAGTCGGAGGAGAAGCCACGGCAAGCGGCATTACAAGTCTGAAACCAGCACACCCTATCTCCAACACAACGAAGCGAAAAGGACCCCCATGGATGGTGCTTTCATAAACAGCTTCTCGGATTAGGGTAAGGAGGTTCTGGTGGTGTTTGTAGTGACGCCGGTGGTGGTGGTCGTCGTCGTCATCAGAGCATTGGTGCATAGTCGTGTAGTACATAGTATGTAGTAGTGCGTAGAAGTGTGTAGTTAATATCACGTCGTATTGTGCACTGGTATGTGGTGATATGTATTGCTATGATGGTGTCATGTAGTGATATGTACGTCGTAGTATGTAGTCGTCGTCGTGGTGCCTGCCACGACAGCGGTGATTGCTTTTACTACTGCATGTGGATGAAAACAGCAGAACATTCTGCATCATCACGCAAGTCTTGGTGCTGGAGTGGTAGCCGCAGTAGTTGCAACCGTAGCAAGAGTAGTTCTTGTGCTGGCGGCGGCGGAGGCGACAGTAGGAGGAGGTCGTAAGCTGGGAAGTAGGTATTTCGTGCCAGCTACCTGCCTAGGTGGGCAGGTACAGTGAGTTAGATGGTCAGCCGTAGAGATTGTAGAGCAGTAGGAGCCGCGGCAGCAGCAAGTCCGTAGCACATGCAACACTGAAAACTGCAGTGGATGCCTCCTGCCGCGCTCTGATGAGACCAGACAGCATTTGCCCCTGAGGTTTACAGCTTGTTCGCTCTGATGGTTGACAGAAGCTACGCCAGGCAGCACACCGACCGTGCAGAGAGGTCGCTGAAATGCTACACTGCTACACAGGTAAAATTTTCGGACCGTCCTGCCCCCCCCGTTTCGCTTTGAGCTTGCCCGGTCCTCCTGGACTTGCTCCTCACGGCACATTTGCCGCCAACGCTGGCCGGTGCGAGACGGCACATGAATCGTAACCTCGTAGTGCAGCACTGCTGCGTGGCTTGCAGGATAACAGAGAGGCTGCGTTTGAGGGTTAGCTGCACTTCCTTCACGTATGCTCGGACATCCTTCGTAGATCACAGACCGTTTTAGTTACTAAAGTCTGAAGAGTCACAGGTGCCAAATCCCCCCCTCTTAAACCCCTCCCCCCACCATATCTAGACCCCAATGATGGACCACGTGTGGCAGAACAGAAAAAGTCTCGTTAAGGCTTAATTACTTCTGTGGACAGGGTCTTTGTTGTTTGGGATGACGAATTCTTCTTCGGGTGCTTGGCCTGTTAGTTTTGTGTGCGCGGAGTTGGGCACCCTTATTCCCGTTGTATTCTGAACTTGTTTGGAACCTTATCTTCTTGGTCCTGCCAACTTAAAGACACAATGCGGATGTTGGATTGAATTTGTCGTTACTGCTGTCTTATGTTGACCTTATTTCTACTTTATTGTGACCATGTTTTGGGTCTTCTTGGTCCACCCTGCTAAAACAATGGGGAAAACCTTGTTTTGACCTTGTTTCGAACTTAGTGTGACCTTATCTCGACTTTATGTTGAGCGTATTTCGCTTATTTCGATCTTCTTTCGACCTTATTTCTGCCTCGGTTTTACTTTATGTTCACATCATTTCGGCCTAATTTTGATTTCATGGTTGATTTGATTTCGGCCTGATTGTGACCTTATGTTGCCCTTATTTTGACCCTGGCTGTACTATTGTTTTGGGTGCTATCCGTAACATTCGAACAAAAACTCTTATTAAAACTTTTTCGCTAGACGCTGCTTCCTCGAACTGTGTCAGTGTCTTGCCGACGGCGAAGGGCGCATTGGCTTTCGGGCGCATTTTTGGGGCTGAAACTTGTCAAGGTCAAATAAGCCCTGATAGGTCTCTTTTCGCCTGCCTTATCAGGGTCTAATATGGATTGTTTTGAGGCCGTCTTGTCTGGCCCTTGGCTCACCGAGAATGCCTTTCTAATCTTTCTAGAGGAGGGTGTTTGGCAGGGGGGTCAGCATTTCTGTGAAAGAGAGGTCTAGTTGGTTTCAAGTTTCGTGCCAGGAGTTTGATCTAAACCTTACTGGCTCGCTTGCGATTTAGTAACTTGGAGTATGCACCGGTCTTCCATCAAGACATTCACTACACGACTTGATCCGAGCATGCTGCCAGGCCTGTTTAGACAGAGGCCGGGACCTTTCAACGCTCCCTCCAAACAACAGCGAGCAGCACGAGGCTTTGATCCACCTTAAGCATAAGAAGCTATCCATCCAAAATCCTCGCCCACTGTCCGAACCAACGATTCCGATCCCTGGAGCACTGTACTCGGCGCCCCAGCTGCCCCTAGTGGCACCTCACAACTCAGGGGCGCAGCAACTTGTCTGTAAGCTGTGGTCGGCTTGTAGGGATCAGGGATTCAAGCTTTGAGGATCTGGATCGACAAGTCGCAACCAAGGCAGGAATTTGACTCAGGGACGGTTGTCTCATGTGGTGCGGGTGAAGCGCGAAAGCAGACGCGGAGGGAGTTGTGGCATGAAGGAACGAATCCCCTGCATCACGCAAAGCAGCGATGGCAACAAAGACCAGGATGCCATACTGATGCGCCCGAGGCTGAATCACGTAAATGTGCAAGCACCACCACAAATACGTATAGCGCAGTAGTCTTTAACACTTCTGCATTATCGGACGATGCATGCATGAAGCATCGAACATTGCCCGTGGTCCTTAGGAAGGCATTTGCGATTCACGCGCTTTTAACACATCGTTCCTCCGGGGTCCTGGCAACGAGGCAAGAAATTGCCTGCAGCCTCGGGTGCATGACCAACCTGCCTGCCAGGCAGCTGAATGAGATAAATGAACCGAGACCACTTGCACCGCTCATAATGTCAGAAAGAACACCGCCATAGCGCCTGCTAACATACCGATACCTATCTGACCCGGTCGACTGCATTATGACGGCCCTCTCGGAACGAAACACACCTGGACAGCGCAGACAACAGTGAGGGACCGTATGGCGGCGTGCAACTGGCCTTAAAACCACGCGCCCCGCGGCTCACGAAGGAAATCATGCCCATGGCACGCACACTGCCGATGAGCTCCCAAGCTTCGCATCAGTTACGGCAAAGCCACATCCCAACGGTGAAAAAGGTGCTCAGCTTCTCACTAACCCTTGCGGTCTCCATGACTCCAGCTGCATTTATTCGGGGGCCGTTCAGGGCTTAGTTGGGGAAAGGCATATTGGGCCACCAAAACTTTGGTTTCAGGACCCTTGCAATGGCCCGTGGGAGACTCCGTATGCAATACCAATCCAAGGAATATCGGCTACATATCTTTTTAGTGCGTATCGATGTTGTCCATTGTTTGTCGTAAAAAGACTCGGTTTGAGAACGAGCTCTCAACTAGATGGCCGAAGGTGGATGGCAAGACTTGCACAGTACAGCTCGCAGCCACCACAACACTGCATGCCTCATAGCCTTTCACGGATCATTGCCGCTTAAGGGGTCGACGTTCAGTTTGGGTCGTGCAGCAGGCATCTTATGAGCAAGGTTCGTCTCGGCGGCACTTGCAGTAAAGGGTTGCAGGCGTGAGGGTTGGGTTTGGCTTTCTGCGGCTGAAGGTGCTCCTCGTTGTCCTGCGCTTCTTCAAGCAGCGTCTCTACTGCAGAAGATTACTTAACGTACTTGCTTGATGCCATTCGAAGCTGGCGACTAGACCGTCGTGAAGCCGTCTTGCCCCTGCTTTCGTCTGCGACGTTTCTTCATGGCTGAAAACTGTAAGTCAGTCTTGAGTGCAGACCACTGCTGGACGAGTCAGTAAATCAAACATTTGCTGACTCGTTCGTTGGTGAACCTCACTCCTCCGCTTTGATTGCGAAGCTGAATCTAAAACCCCTCAGGCCACAACTAAACATTCGCAAGGGGGACAAGCACTGCAGTTTAAGGTTAGTTCTCACACACCGAGAGGAGCTGCTTGTAACGGATCCGATGCGATCCCTTTCGTTTTCCATAATCAGGGCATTCTTTCATGTATATCGTTCGTGTTGAAGAAGGCTCACCGCAGTCACTGGAAAATTGTCGGGCCGTTCTCACGGAGTTCGCTGAGCCCGGCCTTGAAATCCAAGCCGACATGACTCCCTAAAGTAGCACCAGCTTGGTACCTAGAAGTATTAACCAGCGGCAGAAGCCGAAGTGGCTTTCTTACGTGTAACACCGCTGAAGGTTACGCCTGCGCTCGCTAAAAGATCCCCTGCTGCAAACACGCAAGCTGAGCGATGAATAGAAACGAAGACTCTGCATCGAATATCCGAAAGTCCCTTTAGTTTGGGAAGCTCCCTCCCAAACTGAAGAAGTTCCCCGTTGCTCTCTCTCTCCGAATCTCTCTCTGTCTCTCTCCCTTCGCCGCCTTGAGGCGCCTCGCTGCCTCGGCGCACTTCTCGGGCGCCAGGTTCGCGTAGCAGACGCGGATCTCCCCCGGGGCGCCTCAGACGCGACGAGAGTCGACTCGCGACGACTCGCGACGAAGACTTTGAAAGCGGAGGCCGACTGATGCTAAAGGTCCCTATAAGTGCTGCCAAATGGCCGCAGGCGGAGCCAGGAATGGCACAAACGCGATGCCTGGTCCCAAAGGGAGTTTTCCAAAGATATACGGGGAGTGAATAGAAAGATGTCGCCATGCCTGCGCAATGCTTGCACGCATGCATGTCCACTCTTGCAGGCTGACAAAGCCTTGGCCTACGGTTTTTGTAGCCTTTCGTATACAAAGCTCCCGTCAACTCTGTGGTCTTGCTTGCCTGAGCATAATCGTCATCCATAGCCACGGGTGGCCGTGCCATATCAACAGCAGCTTGGGCGACAGCAGCAACAACGACAATAGCAGCAACAGCGGCACCAGCAGCGACAGGGCTGCAACAGCAACAAGGAGAACAAACAACCGTAACGGCGAGTCCAACATCGACGACAACACCATTGCGAGTACCACGATCGGCGAGGTGATCTTCTTCGTCATCGTCATTACTGAGCGCTAGCAGAAGCATCGCCAGTCCCACCAGCTGTGCCATTGCTGCCTTTCACAAGCCGAGGTCGCAACTTTTCGCTGAGCCATTCCACTACGCGCGTGTCCTGGGTGACGAGGCACCGATCGTGGGTAGCATCTTTGGGAAGTACAGGTGGCACTCATCTCATCAGCATTCGAGTCGACATGACCCCTAAAATCTGGCATCGCCTGACCAAAAGAGCCCTGAGGCCTTGAGCCAAAAAAACCCACTTAACTCTCCAAGAAGCCCGAGAGTTTGCCTCTGCCGGGCCCCAGGGCCCCACACGTTTTCGAAACCTTTGGGCAGCTTTGCCATGAGATAGATCGCGCCCGAGCCGCCTCCAAGGAATTGGAATTGTAATAAAGGCCAAAGCAACACGAAGCTTCAATCTACTAATGGCAACAACCCAGAAAACAAGTGATACCGACTAGACGGAAACACTTTCCAGTATCATCAAGATCTTGCAAAATTGTGGTATGCGGCGTCAGGCCTAAATGATGCACTTAGCTGCTACATTCGCCCTTGCTCGATTCGATACGGCAGAAGCCCGTGAGGAATTCGTGAGCCAATCGACTCTTGATCCCTCACGATAAGTGCAAATCTCCGCCAGCCTGCAACGCTGCCGGGGCCTGGTTGCTGTGTTTGCCATTGGCATTGCTGTTGCAGCACTACTGCAGGCGCCTATACGGATGCGTGGTGTTCTACACTCGAGATAACCGACGCCCTCAGCTCCTCGCAAAAGCTTAACTTTAGCACTATAAGCAGTGGTGACATGCAAAGTGGACTGACCTTCTATGATTTATTAGACTGCCACCTGAAATCATGCCGGCGCTTCTGCACTGCAAGACATGGTTTCAAAAGCGAATGATGGCTCCAACAACTTCCCCAGTGCCTCATGTGCCTCCGAACCCAACCAACTGGGGCCGGGACCGAGCGTTTCTGTCAGAGCTTGGATTACCAGACGCTTGTTCTCTTTCAGGCCGCGGACGTGTTCCTTCCTGATGCGGGTCAGAGCGCTCAGATGCGCTCAGTCATGCAGCATGTTTCGCCTTGCATCAACTTCAACCACCGAAAGGGGGCTTGCTGTTAAAGTGTAGTCAATGAATGTGGCGCACGGAGGTCAGTCATGATGGTGTTGATGCTTTGACTGATTCGCCGAATGGGATGGTGGCGAGGGCAACGTCGACGCTTATGGAAAGGAAGATGATAGTTTCATGGGGATGGTGTCATGGAAGAAGATTATTCATGCTGATCCTTAGTGTTGGTGGTGATGAGATATCGACGAGGGTCGTGATGGTGGTAGTGCACACGACTAGCACTAAGTCGTTGTCGCGGGAGTGGCGGAAACGGAGCAGCACTGGCGGCACCAGTTGTTCCCGTACTTCTTCTTCTACTACTACTCCTGCTGCTACTACTACCACTACTACTACTGCTACTACGACGACTACTAGAACTAGGACTAGGACTACGACGACGACGATCACCACGATTCCTTCTCTGCTGCTAGCTACGAACCATCGTGATGACGATAACAAGTGTGAGTATGACTGCACTAATCTTGAAAACACGCTCAGGTCGCTGCACCCACGCCCTGCCAGCGCCTAGCGCAGCAAGTGCCACCTGTGTCAGATTCAGTGGCTCAGGTTGCTGTTGTCCCATGCTTCTTTCTGTGTGCGAGAAGGCGACGCTTCGTATCTGTCTGCTACCGAGGACATGTGGCTTCCCATCGGGATGATGCACTGGCTCCTGTATGTTACGTGTCCCCAGTTGCACCCTTCGTCTGCCAACCCGGAGCCTTCTGCGACACCACCGTCGGGCATATCGCGATGGTGTCTTGAACCTAGACTTGCTGGGTGGTTTTACTCAGAGCTTCACATGTCTGTATGCCTGTATGTATTTGTGTTGCAAGTGGCAGCATTTGCCGTTCAAGCTGATGAAAACTCTCCGTGCTTGCCCCTGTGCGTGGGTCAGTGTGCGTACGCCAGCCTCTTGACACTTGACACCGTTAAGCTGCGGAGACAACGATGTCAGTCACGAGCATCGCAATAGTTCGAGCTGCCGTCATATTCGGACATATCATGGTACGGGGGGGCGATTCGGCTGCCTGGCAGCGATCAAGCTTAGACTTGCTGCCACACTTTGCTCTGGCCAACCGCATGTAGAAGAAGGTACTTTCGATTGATCGTATAGAGCAAACCCTTCCAAGTATGAAGGCTGAGGGCCAAGCTTTCATGAGTTCCGGCAGCAGGCTGGGTGGGAACGCCTGGTTTGTCAGCTCATGGAGCCAGAGTTCTGGAAGATGTCAGAAGCCGAGCAAGCCGAGCACCCGGCCAAGTAGCCTGCACAGGATCGTAGATCTGTCGAACATCTACCATCTATCTCTTCATGCACCCTCTCTCACACCATGCTCACAACTTGAAGTCCCCGGCCACCCAAGGGCACTTGCCATCGCTCCTCTCTCAGCTACACGGAATCTGGCGCCTACGCGCCATCCCATCATTCCAAAGGCCTGTGCGATTCCACGGAATGCAGGAGTTGGCTGGATTGCTTGGAGCCTCCAAAACTTTCTGGCTGGTGTACGTATCAACGGTGTAGGTAGGGCGTGGGGGATAAAGTTTCCCGAACCATGGTGACACCCATATCTGCGGCAACAAAGAAATTGAAGACGCGCCTTGCTAAATGAGAAGACGTTCACCACGTGGTCTCCACTGACGCAGCTGTGGGACGGGTGGCCGTCCTGGTGAAGAACAAACGCATGCTAGGTAACTCCAACGAGGGAACATCGTGATACCACTACCATTGTTCTGCCCGGCAGCTGGGCTCACTGGCGGGCGTCTGTCTGGCGCATGTTATAGGCTGTGATCGTTGATACTCCCGATTCTGCTATTCACTGCGATGGGGCCTGTCCCATTGATTTCGGAAACGTCCAATGCCTGCAGCGCTTTACTTCACTCATTTTGACTACTTTCAGATACTTTCAGCCGCTGCGCACTCACAAGCCTCTAAGCAGAGACACATCCCTTAAAGTGATGACAAAGCATGAAGCAGCGAAGCACTTCGCACTCCTCTTCGTACGTAAAATGCTCGTAGGTGTTGTCCATGACCAGCCAAGCGCCATGCTTTTTGCACAGAGCAGACAACCGATCGAGCCTGCAGCATCGCGTGGCAGCATGACTTCAAAGGGGTCGTCTGAGGCACACAACCCCCCACCCAAACAAGAGGAATTCGGGATTGCTCAAGATCTTCAGTGCAGCTGGCCCGGCTTTCTTCGTCTGTCCGGCAGAAAGCCCTGCACTTCTGCTTCTCTGCTCTTCAATCTGATATGCAGCATCTAAAGCCCAGCCCCGCTCTGCAGCCTGTACGCAGACACCTTGAACCCTCGAATTCCCCGAAGCCCAGGAAAACAGCGGGCTACCGGGCATCGCTTTCGGTAGGATCATGCCGGTTGGATTGCCAGGGTTGACCTCTGCAGCCGTGGAGACACGCAGCTTACCTGTACGATTCGGCTCTGCAGGGTTCGTCATGTACTGATTGCAAAACAAACGTGAATCGAGACAACCCTCCTCTCATCCAAGCACAAGCATACAATACTACGCACATCATCGAATCTTCATCGATGCTTTGAAGTTGCGCGCCCCGGCTCTGATGACTCTAATGCGTTCCTGCTCAGATCTCATCATGTATCTACAAGCTGACACGAAGCAGCAGTAATGCCCAGCACAAAACACCTGAAGATACAAGGCTCAAGGCTGGGACCCGGGAAGGCAAAGAGCCACCCGCGACCCCACGCTGCACTCCTCCCACTCTCCTCAACCTCGAACACTCATCCCGCATAAAGCCCGCCGAACCTGTTGGCCCATATACTCGTTCTGACACTGCCCAAACCTTTAAACCCTGACTCCCTCACAGTGGCTGACGTTTCGGGCTTGGATCCCCGCGACTGTAACCATGCGAATCCGCTCGCCAACCGGTGGCTCCGCCAGCCTCACAAGCTCACCGACGCCAACGGCATCCTAGGATATCGTAGGGTCCCAATTGTCACTGGAGAAGCCACAGGTAGCCTTCAGAAGAAACCGGCTGTGCCGCAGCAACGTGTTCAGGTCCTACTCCTAGACAGAACCGACCTCGCGAAAACGACACATGAAAAGGCGCGCAAGCCGGTATCATCCAAGTTCCAGCCCTCAGTTTTATGCAACTACGTCTGGGATGTCGTGGCCACATAACATAGAGTCCATAGAGACGCACAGACACACACACACACACACACACACGCACACAAAACCATGTCTTTCGCCTGCTATCGGAAAATGACGACTGTAGTCCAAGGTGGCCGGGTGAGGGTGCGTTAATGCGATCCACAACAACATATCTTCGCAGGAGCTTCAAACTGGACTCTACATCCTCGCATTTCAAAGCTCAGACTATGCACTACATGGCCCGTAGAGGGCCTCCTCTCAAGCCAGTCAACGTCCGGGAGGTAGTCCTCGGATGACGAGCCGTTTGCAGTTGATACTGTCAGGCGGATGCACACTTGCCAGGGCAAACGCATTGAAGATGATGCTGATAATGATGATGCGCCATGGTGGTGATCGTTGCCATCGTCGTTGCTGGTGCCGTTGATGTTTGATGCTGCTGCTGGCAGCTGTGATTCTGCTAGTTGTTGTGGCAATATCGTGGCGGCATGGAGGGTGGCGAATATGATGCTGTCGCGGCTTCAGTGATGCTTCCTCTCACAAGAAAACAAGTTAGCAAAACTTGCATATCCTTCCAATATGACTACAGGATCTTTCTGCCTCGCACACAATCCTTCAATCTGCTTTCCCTGCGTTCCAAGCCTTCTTGGACATCCCCGCGGTTTGAAGCCAATGGCTCTACAACGAAACACCACAGAAGCTCCAGCAAAATGGCCGACGCTCCTCCGTCGAGCCACAATTACACCGTCTCACAGCCACTAAGAATTGAGGCCGGTCCTGTGTGCTTGGCGCAAGCACTACAGAGGCGTGCCCCCCGGTCATCTGCAATGCCATCCTACAGCAGGTGCACATTTCAGGCCGAGGACATGGATCGAGATCGCACGCACATACTCATGCAAAGTATGTGTGCATGCATGTTTGTCTGTCTGCCTGTCACTGTCTCTGTTTGTATACAAGTTTGCATGTACGTACGTATGTGGGTGCGTACGCACCCGACAGCGGACCAAAATTTGACAACCCGTTATGCGGCAATTCTTGTGCTTCTCAATCAATGGGTTCAATAGGTCACATGTCGAAGCGTCGGAACAGCACTTACACTTGGCAGACAGCAGGAAGTGCAATCGATCCGGCTGTAGTAGCACTGGTCAGACTGAGATCGCATCCGGTGGTTGAAGTAGAAGGGGCTGAACAAGACAGCTGCATCCTTCACAATTTTGCAGCATGCACCTCACGGCTAGACGCATCCTAATGACCTGTGACGTGTCAGTGCGCCGGTGCGGCGAGAGAATCCACGGGGGCCGCAAGTAGTTAGGTCAAGTGAAGGCCTGCATTCCAAGACACATCGGTCCTGCGAGTCGAGCAAAGTGCACACTAGGTTCGTGTAGGCCTGGTTCGCTCCTGCCGTCACCATGACCTCACGGCAGAAAGCATCATATCCTCGGACGCAGATGCTGGAGCAGTGCTCGGATTTGGGTGCCTGCTACCTGCTACAGGTCTGCGGCAAACAGCCTGCCTCTACGCCGTCCAAGCCGTTCTCCTGGCGCAGCTTCTCCTGCCAGCACTGAAACATCAACGTTGCCGGCCGAACGGGCTCACGACTCCGAACAATTGGCTGTTGCAAAGTGCAGCAGAATCGGGTTCAAAACTCACAACAACAAGGCACCCACCTGAATCCACAGACTTTCCGACCTCCTACGTTTGCATGCACCAGGGCTCCTTCAGAGCTTCCCGCAGGACCGGCCTCAGTCGGGTTCAGCTTGACCTAACGGACAATAAGGTACGTCCCATAAGAAGACAAACAGTGACATACTGGTCTCCTTGAGGCCCGGGCAATCCATCATCTGCGCCTCGGCAGGGATTCTGAGCGAGTGAAAGTTGCTGAGTAAATCCACCAGCAGGTCTGCACCGCCAGAGTCGACAAGCACGTCGCGGGAAAACCCAGGCAGCAAGACTGCGTCACTAAGATCGTGGCAATATGAATTCGTGTCAGGCTCGCCTGCCGCTTTTGCGGCTGCCTCGTTGGGAAGCTGCTGACGTTTGTATAAAGTGCCCAATGCATGCTTCTGCACAGCAAGTCGGATCCTGAACACATTGCGATAAGTGCCACTCGTTATTGAATCTACATGCAGGGAGACTTGCAAACTTGCAAGCATATGAGGCTTCAAAAAGAAAACCTTACGCCAGAGCTTACTAAATTTTGCCGAATCCATCAGAACATGGTGCTCAATTTCAGAATCCAAACTGGACCTTCGAAGGCACCACCTAACCACCAAGCAAGGCCCCAACACCACAAAGGCCCAGAGCAGCCGGTCAGCCTCGCTGGCAGCCACTGGCGGCGCCCAATGCACGATGCCCTGAGCTAGGGACATAATGCCCTCCTGCGCACAGATGCTGCGAATGCAGGACTCTTGCAGGGCGTGCAATGGTCGTCGCGAGAAGTACCTACACTCTCACGCGCAGACCCTGGTTCGCAGTCGACCAAAGTGAAACACGACTTCTCGTCGAAGAGACCGGTAAATCGAACAAAAGTAACACAATGCAACCATCTCATCAACTTTCGGCAAACAGCCTGTTCACAGAAAATCTCACCACGACACTGGCCTTGCCACGCAGCATCCTTTGCCTTGGCAAGAAAAGCGCATGGTTGCCATCCTTGACATAGTGGTCACAGTAGCCAAAAGAAGCAAGTGCAGGATTCATCTCACATTATTGGTGCTGACGACAGCGGAAATGTGCCATTGGGCAGCAAGTGCGGCTGGCCAGGAAGCATAGCAAACAGCACCGCTAGTCGCCGTCCGTCATCACAGTTGCAGGAGCAGTAGTAGCAGCAAGAGCAGCAGCACCCGTAGTGTTCAACTATAGCAGTCGTAGTAGTCATCGTCGTCGGCGTCGTCCTCGTCGTAGTTTTACTGGCAGTGGCATGTTCGTCGTGATCGTAGTCGTCGTCGTGTTGTTACGGTGCAGACATTGATATTTAAAAAGTCGTTTTTTCTGTCAGGATTAGCCAGTTTTACGTGTCTGCCACTACCATCACTACGATCATGCTTCCACCGTCCACGTCTACCAAGGTCGATGTCTGCCAGAGTCTGCAAGAGTGTTCGATCCCCGACTCCTCTGCTTTCTATTCCATGCTCCATGCGAAGCTAGAAAGCGGCGGTGCTGCATGACTGATGGCTTATGTCACGGTGAAAACTTCCGCCAATGAGACCGTCACATCGCCACGATGCATGGCTCGTCCGTCAGTCGGATGCGCTTGCTGGGCTGGACCGCCTCGCTAAGCTCCCCGAAAGGAAAGAGGTCAGACGGATCAGATTCCTAGCTGCCGAAGTCCCGACCCACCTCCTGGCTCGAAGCTGCCATGGCAGACTTCTGGCAGAATAGGTACCTGCACGAGGCTTGGGTCCCAACGCTGAAAGATTGAGTGCAAAGAAAAGGGTATGTTCAAAACCCTGGACTACACCCACCTGTTCAGCACTCAGCTACATCAGCTGCCATGCCCTGTGACTCAACTTTCCCCATCCTTAAACTTATGAAGAACTCTTCAACAAGCTCAAGTACGAAGAACATGCACTTGTCCATACAGACACGCACAGATTACAGGCGCATCTGCTTCTCGTTTATTTGTGCCCAAAAACGTCATGCTATCATTCATGAATGAATGCATCCGTTCAGTCGTTCTTTCTTCAATCCCTCCTCCCCTCGCTCCGTGCATGTGCCCGTGTATGTTCTGCTTGTTGTGATTTGCCTGTCATGTTCTGCTCTGCATGCTCTTATGACTACGGTATGCTGTTTGAAACTATTGTTATCACGATTTTTATTTGTATCATTGTTATTCAGTTATTGGCATGGTGGGTGAGAAAGTCTCGGCCTCGGCCCGGCAGCCCCGACCAGGGCGAGGGCGGAGGCGAAGATGCGCCTGCCGGGCCGTCGAGTCCGCTGAAGGCTTTGGGGGATTTTGGGCTTTAGGGTTTTGGGGTTTCGGGGTTTGGGTTTGGGGTAGCTGGAGTTCAGAATTGCGGATCTTTAAGTCTTTAAACTGCTAAACCCCTCCGTAAAATCTACGATCCTCCAACCAAAGCCCGGAGCTTTGGCCGGATAATGCAGGTGGGGCACCTGGTCGTCGCAGCACGCAGCTTGTATGGGCCAAGCATAGAACCGGGACACCGAAAGTGTCGAGGAAGCTGACGGGGTATTGCAGGTTTTGAGGTTGGTATGTGTGCAGCTGATAAATGCCCAAAGATGCCCGAAGGGGCAGAGACGGAAGACGAGAATCAATAGTTGGTGGGAATGTTTGAGATGCGCAGAGCCTTGGACTCATAAGTGCGCGTACACGGGCCATGAGATGGTTGGGAAGTTACGACCGCTTTTTCCTACGAGCACCCCTCGATAAGGGCATCACGGTCAGAATTTGTCAAGTTTCCAGCCTTGAGCCTCCGGTTAACTTGACGAACTTTAGCCTGGCGCTTGCTGTGGAAGGGGTGATCAGCGAGGATGGGAATGACGACCGCGATTACCATACCACCACAGCTAGGCGAGGGGTTTTTTGTTGCTGCGAATAATTGGTACTATTCACTATTCCGTCAGTCATAGTTACTTTTGTTGCGATTTGCCATGATGCTGCACCTGATGCACCCTGAACATCAAGCCATCCAACCCAGGTCCTAAATCTGGAGCCGGAAGTCAGCGGCAACAACTGAAGGCTTGCTTAGATATGGCTGTTCCAGCAGTCAGAACAACCACCCGTATTTGTCATCATTCCAAGGCCACAAGGCGAACCCTGGGCAGGAACCCAGGAAACAAAAACAAACGTGATGTGGGTCTGCGTTGACTTCAGGGCACGCAGACAAAACGGAAAAACATGGGACCTGCCTCAGGCCTATGGATCCCAAAGCGCTTTCATGGCACCTCGCACTGCAGATCAGCTTGGTTTCAACATCACCTTGGTCCTGTTGAGCTTGATGACCGAAAGTTCCGGACAAGTAACGACGAGTAGTTCCAGGACTATGTCCATGATGATAGTGCTCAGTTTATCACTAACAGATGCATTCACCACCTTTTTTGCTCCCAGCCGCGCCGCTGTGTGAAGCAAACCCCAAAGCCTCAGGGCACGTGCATGCCCTGCACTTCCCACTGCCTCCAGGTTTCGAGTGCAAGGTTCAAAGTGCGGGTTGGGGGGGGGTAGACATAGTCTGATCATTGTCATTTTCGGGTGTGGATTGATGCCGAGTGTACGTATCAATGTATGTAAGGACTATAGGGCCTAGAACCAGGTAAAGGAAACGGACCCGCTTCCAGGAAGCCACATGCAGCGCGCGCAGGTCCTGTTGTAGGTCGTGCAGCATCGGCCGATAAGGCGATGCTGGCATTAAAAGCACGCAATTATCACACCCTCACGCCTTTTTTAATGTACAGCTTGCTGATGCAAGGATATCTTGGATCTGATATCTTCCCATGTGGAGCAACAAACGAACAAATGTCATGAAGCATCGCTGCTTCAACGTCCAGGGCGGCAAACTCCTGGTGCCGCAAGTGCGCTGTTCTTTCTTTGCAGTTTCCTGGCTTTGCTTTCTAGGTCGGCTTTGCATAACAGCATGATGGTACTGTCGCTTGTTTTAAACGCAATCTTGTCACTGCTCTCTCCTGATAAGCAGCACGTTTGGCTTTCTCCCAATGAATATCATAAATTTGAGTATTGCCCAAATAAATGGGGGTGTCCCTCAACCGCGGAACAACAACCCTCCGGTCCTGCGTCTGCGCTCATTCTAAGCGACGCGGCGTCCGCGAATCCAAAGGTGGTGCCTGCTACATAGCTTTCTTCATGACCATCATGAGCATGATCATCATCGGCAGCCTTGCTCATTATCATGATCAAGACCATGGCCAATGGTCATCAGCAGCATCACCACCTTTACCTTGTTCATGACATCATTTGTTACGTAGTCTTCTTCTCTTCCTGCTACTCTTTCAAAACATTGACATGGTAACTGTGTTGAAGGTTGCAAGTGGATCGTCCAGTCATTTTTGGATGTAAGGTCCAGCTTGCCACAGCAAAGGCTAGCGGTTGCAGGTAAAGTTTCGGCACTTCACCCACGAATGCCGATTCGACGTCCCCCGCGTCTCCTCTCATGCTAAATTGTAAATGCCAAACTTGATCTCACAAACTGACGTCACAAGACGTCATAAGGCCTTCGCACCGGCCCAGGCCGAGGGCTGCGTGGCCGCACGCTTCTGCGCCTTGGCTTGGGGCACAAGGACCAGAGGCTTCCGCGCTCAAAGCGCACAATTAGGGCTCTCATGAAAAGACTTAGAACCTAAGCACCAAGGGCTTTGCCATAGAGTTGTACTTTACTGAGTACTGCTCTTGCAAGTAGGATACCCGAACCACTGCCACAGGACGACCAGACTGCCAGACTACCCACTACCACCACCAGTACCTCGACTAAGTTACCTCTACCACTGCTGCTGCCGCTGCTGCTGCTGCTGTCTTTGAAGATGCAATACATACATTACTACGGTACTATCTACGTAATACCACGTACGAGCACATAGTGCAAGCACAAGTACCGCACACCGTCTGCTGCACTGTCTAGAGTACACCGGTAATTCTCATCCACATTCAGTGTGATGTTGCCTTTCTTGCTCCCTCTGCCCTTCTTACAAGCACGATTTGGCCATCACATGTATGAACATGATTTCTATCACTAAGCTGCCAATGTTTCGTGTTTACAAGTGTGGATAGTGGTTTTGTTTTGGAAAAACACAGGTTTCGACGTTGCGGGCCCATCCGATTTCCGAATATGTGCTCTTGGAGCGTTCCGGATAGCATGTGGCCGGAAGGAGCAATGTGCAAAGTCCGAGAACAGAGAAGGACAAATCTGCGATTCAGGAAGCTGAAGCCCAGAGTAAGCTCCATCTTCTAACCATTCAGTGCGCCAATTTCCGTGCAGTCGCAACAACAGGGGTAGCCAAGACGCAAAAAGAAAAAGCTGAGGGCACTCCATGGATGCATTTACAACAGGCTTTCGCCGTCACTCAGCTCCCGGCCAGTCTTGCCTGCGCCTGCTCTCGCTGAGTAACCGCCTGCTCCGACACCACGTACAAGCTTCAAGGCAGATTGGGCCCTGGAAGATGCTTCGGCAGGTGGGAGACATGCAAAACGCCCTTTAGCTTTGTGCCGCGACACCTGCACTCACCGAATTCTGTCGGGATGGCCTCCAGAAGCCCTTTTTCAAGCTCAGTCCTGTGGCTTCGTGACACATACTGGGCGATGTCACATGTCGACTCCGCCGGCAAGGCCTTGAGAGAGTGGTTCAGTTCCTGTTCCTTAAAAACTAACCAAACGTACCTGGACTCGACTTGCAAATCCGCCGGTCTTCGCCATTCTCGTGCTGTCGGGCTGATTTGACCGGAAGCTGATTCAATGCAGCTGCATTCTGTGCGGGCCGAGGGTAGGAGCAGAAGTACTAGGAAGGAATGGAGAGGCCAGAAAGTCAGGGCTGTCCTTAAGCTACTACAGTGTCACTCTGCAGGTGCGGGGGTGACATCTGACATTCAAAGCAATGGTTCTCCCTGGCGTCCTTTTGGCGGCCTCGGCCGCCATCGCCTCGACCTCTTGCTGCTTCGCCTGGCAGCAAAGAGCTGCAAACCCGTTCGATTTCGAGACTCACAACCATCGCCTTGGGCCTTGGGCCTGCGAGTTTGATCGCTTGTCTACTTGTCTTCGGATTCGGCATCTGTGGCTCAGCCCGAGGACGCGCGGTTCCAAAAACACCCGGCCGGGCCTTCATTGCAGCCTCAATGCTGTGCTGCTCCTGCAAGAGGCAATGCGCGAAAGAGAAGTAAAGAGCCAGCATTTCGGCTTCCAGCGTGGCACCATACCATCTCCCTACATGCTCACGCTTTCAGAGCGGGTGCCAACACAGACTCCTGCACCTGTCACGACTGTCACTGCAGGATGGCCTTCAAAGCCTTCTCGGCAGAGCGCTGTGCCTTGGAAGCTGCCACATGAGCCTCCGGATTCACATCTCACGAAGACTTCATGCTACGAGGAAGGCATGATCATGATTCATGATGTTGCGTTTTGCAAGTCTCTTCGCGGTGCATGCGAATCTAAGTGTGCCTGCCTGCCTGTATGTACGCACTCACACGTGCACGTGCACGGAGGGATGGAGGGATGGATGGACGGATGGATGGACGGACGGCTGGGTCTGTAGCAGCCGAGTCGAAGCTCACCTATTGAACAAGTCATGCAATGAGTCTTTCCAACAATGAACCTGCCCCCGAGCCTTCTGCGCACATGCCTTGGCATTTTCCGCGCCGTGGACCAGCTTGCGAATCTCCTGATCGCCACTCGCTCTAATGACTGGTCTTGTGGTATCTGGTTGTGGCGCGTGACCGGCGTAATGAGGACAACTTCACAAAACATAAGAAAGCACTACATGTTGGCAAGGACGAAACCAGTGATCGCACAAGCTGCAGAAGGCTGCTCACGGTTTCAGCAAGATCCCAAGCCTACACGAACGATATTTTCGCGTGAGATCTCTGTACGACGTGCGAGATCGCGAAAAAAGCAAAGGAAGCGAGATGAGAGGGGGAGGGAGCGGGGCAGAGAGAGAGAGAGAGAGAGCGAGAAAACACATAAAACGCGCGCACACGCACACACACACACACACACACAAAAAAAAAAACAAACACATCACTAACCAGCAGCACAATGTATGAGCCCATGTCCCCCTCACTAGTAAGCTGAGAAGAGTAACCGAAACAGCGCTACCAATCCGCCACAGCTCATCCACCCGTGGCCTCTTCCAAGGTTTTCGTGCGAAGAGAAGCCTCCTTGGCTGCCTGCTTCGAAACTCTTTCCGGGCGCTACGGAGGCCGGAACGGCCATGAAATTCATGCAGCACGTGCATGTCATGGGATATGAAGTGTCATCATCAAACGCGGCAGCGCTGGCATAGAACCTCGCGTTCTAGGTCATCTTTTTAGACTCAAAACTGTGACTTACTTTGTCGAATGACTCGGTCACACAATTTTGTCTGATTGGAACTTCGCCATCTGATGTTGCGGGAACTGTGTTGGCCCTTGTTACCTTCCATTCTTCCACTTGTGTTGGACCAGAAAGGTCTCTCTGACCTTCGTTTCAGCGGCCAACGCTAAGCAGACAGCCGCACCCTGAATCGAAGGAAACGAAGTACTATAGCGGGCTGCAGAAGAACATCATTCTCAACATGCCAGCAGAGCAAAATCCGAAAGTCCGAGTTTAGAGCTGTCCCCAAAATCCGAGCTGCTGCCAGAACGTGCCATCATTTCATGTTCCGAGCCCTTGCTGTGCAAAAAGCCAAAGTTAACGCGAAGGTCTGGCACAAACACGTCCAGGCACTCGTCTCTTATACACAATAAAGACCCCCTTTGAGGCCTCTTGTTGTGGCTGCCGACCAGTCGTCCACACCCCAACCCCTGCACGTAAGTTCGAATTGCAAAACGAAGCCCAAGGCAAAGAGCGCCTGCACGGCCTCCTGCGACTCCCTCTCACGGGCCCGGCACGCTCTCACAGCCTCTTCCGCCGCCTTGACGTCACTGGAACAAGCATAGATATCTGCTCTGGCTCAAAGGGGTCAGGAGAGCGGCTAACAGCGGCCTGAACAAGAAATTCCCGAGTTCCGAAGCATGAAGGAAGCCCTCAAACAAACCTGCAACTGCCTCCAGCTCTGATGGTGCTGCTTTGCCAGCCTGCACTTCAGACGCCGGAGGAATCAGGGAACATGGACAGGTGTCTCGCTTGCAGCCTGCCTCTGCTGGAACTGCTTTCGGCGGTGGGCTGCTTTGCTTTCTCACCTTTGCCGGCGGTGTAGAGGGCTCGGGCGGTTGAGGCGCCTCGCGGGCTGCTGGCGGTGCTGGCGGTGGGCTTGGGCCGTTTGGGACGGCTGGTGGCGACGTCTTGTCCTGAACGGGGCTTTCTTTGGGCGAAGCCTTGGGAGCAGCTTTCGGAGTCGCTTGAGGTGTTGGGGGTTCGGGCTTCGGCGTCGCAGCCTTCGGGCTGGCCTTCTTGGGTGAGGCTTTGGGAGGGGTGGGCTTTGGCGGCGTGGCCTTCGGCGGAGTAGCCTTCGCCGGTGATCTGGAACGAGCAGATCTTGGTGTGGCCGGTTCCGGCTCTGCCGGCGCGGACTCTGTCGGCTCAGGCTCAGCTTCGGCCTCTTGAACCGTGGACTTCGCAGCGCTCTTGGGCGTTGCCTTTGGCGTGGCCTTGGGCGTAGCCTTGGGCGTGGCCTTCGGGGTGGCCTGAGCTCTTGTCAGCGCAGGTGTCGTCTGCACCGCAGCTGACGCAGTGCTCGCTCGCACCGGAGTGGAGGGTGCCTTCGCCTTGGGTGAAGCCTTGGGCGTTGCACTTCGGCCACGACCGCGTGGTGTCGTTTTCGGAGAGGCTCTGCCAAAGCCCCGCCCACGGGGCGTCGCTGGCGACGTAGCTTTGGATGCTTGGCGAGGAGCTGGTGATGCAGAGGGCACATCTACCGGACTGGAAGGCGGTGCACGCTTTGGCGTGGACGGCCCTGCCGGTGCTGTCAGCGATGATCCAGGAGCTAACCTGATCCACTGCAGACAAAGAATCCAACGGCATGCGATAATGGGCAAAACCACCCCAGGTCTTCGAAGCTGAAGATTGAGTGCATCCCGGTGGCCGCTCTTCCAAGTACTCCTGGGCCTTCTGGCTGATCGACAAGTTGTCGATGATGTACCTCAATCTCAAAATCACCGCCGGAGGTTCACAACACATAAAGCAGTTTAATACATACACTTACACACACACACACACACTCCACGTCTCTGTCTTGAAGCTCAGCGTCTGAAGGGTGCGAATCTCGCAGTCGGTGATTTCAGAACCATCCTGGACTGCTTCCCAGAGTTCGATGGCCTGCCGGCAGCTTCAGGTGTGATATTATTGCAACATGAGCAACAAGTCAACGCAAAAGCGGGGAAGAAGACCCATGTCTTCTCTCAGCGCACTCAAGGAGTTTCTGCATGGCGACGTATTAGGGGATTAGCGTCCTGCTCCTACTACGACGACTGCGACATGTACCAGGACGAGAACAAGGACGACAACGATGAAGATCTGGCTTTCAACGGTCACTTCAACATGGTTATACATCCTGAGATGTGGTACAGGCTTTGTGAGACTCGACGTCAAGGGGACAATAAACGTCGTAATTAGCCACCTCGCCAAAGCACCTTGGCTGTCCGGGGAGCCATAACTGCCGTGATCACTTTTCTTGACAAAATGATATCACGGAGTGACATCGTTATCGACATGGTCGCCGTCGTCCTCCTCATCTTCCACTTCTTCGACAGGATGACGCTGCACACTAGTATGGCGTTAACAACGGCTAGGTGGCTGTTTAGCGAAGGCAAATCCGGAGAAATTAATTATCTGGGCATATCGATGGCAGCAAGCGTGGGTGCTTGACTTCCCGGCTTGCCCGCAACACAAAACAAAGAAGCGACAGGAGTCGCAGCGCCTCCTCGTAAGAGATATTGCCGTTGCTGGCAAACTGCTCCGCTTTGTCCAGAAGTTGGCGGTCGTATTGCACCCGGGCGATGGTCTTGTAATACAAGCCTCCAAGGACAAACACAGGATTCCTGATTGCTGGCATTCATCCTGCTTGGAAGCCCACATTACCCGAGTTCATGTATTCACGCGAGAAGACTGCGAGGCGACATCACCAACCTGCTGAGGCATGCAGAAAGCAATCTTCTAACACATAGTCACATAGTCTGTAGAGATTTCATCAGGTGAACTTTGAGGGGCTCGGAGAGGAGTTTAGCAGCAAAGTAGCATCTGCGGTGCTCGGGATGCGAAACTACCCTTTGAGGTAGACCATCCCCCACCCGCACGCAGACCTTTCCTCGAACAATCCTGCAAACAAACAACCAAGCATCAACTGAACGATCAAACGCACGAACGAATGAATAAACGAATCAAAAAACAAAAAACAAGCACACGAACAAACAAAACCAACAGAGACAATCGCGGGGGGCGTATGTACTAGCCGAACCCATCCCCTCTGCTCAAAGTCTCGATTGTAGGATCGGGATGTATCGGGGTTCATCATTTGCAACCCGGCACCATCCGTCTTAGATTCAGGAACCTCAAGGTTCAGTCTCTCATGAGGATCTTCCGAAAGGGAACCTTTGGGGCCGTCGTCCTAAATTTCTCTGTGCAGGCCAGGGACTGGCTGACTTTGCGCCCAGCTTTGACTCCAGGAATCTCCGCGCTTTGTTGGTAAACTGATGGTTGCCGAGCACGTACTTCCTCGACGCAAGTTCAGGAACTAAAACATCCAACCGAGACTTAGGTAGCCAAGCCATGCAAGCATAATGTGAGACAATGTGATGAACATTCAACTGATAACAAAACATCTGTGCATGGTGTGCATTCTGAGTGTGTATGTAATGCATACATATATTGCGCTGAAGCCTGATGTGTATGTACGGATGTATGTATGCACGTATGTACGTTTGGACATTCACACAGACACGTAAACAAATACATGTGGTGTGTTGTGGCAAAGCCAACAAAGTTAGACGACTGGTCCATGTGATCAAACCAGAATCAGAGCAAGAATTGTAAGACCAGAAATGTCGGCCAACTCTGTCAATTCTGGAAAGAGAAAAAACGGTGGCGGGCTTTAGGACTGTGGTTTTGGAAGTGATGACCATGAAGGATAAGAAAGCGAAATCTGCCAGCATTCAAGCCCCGATTCAGCGTCTCTTTCTCAACAGCGGTCGCGCTGCGACCTGATTTTCGGAGGTTCGGCTTGGGGGTGTCGACTTCGATGGCTCGGATCGGGTTCCGAACACCCGAGCCCGCACAGTGGGTAACCCGCACAGGATACTGATACGACGAAGCCGTGCTCTCCAGCCAAGGAGCCTTCGAAAAGATCTTCCCACAGGGCGGTTGCTCCCTCGAGGGAGACCTGTTTAGACCGAAGCTGGGCCTGAAACCTCGCTGCCAACCCAAGCTGAACCTCTGCTACCTTGAAACCTCCTGCCCCACCCCAAACGTGCCTGGCCATCCTCTACCGCTGCCTGCGCAAAGGCTCGAGTCCGGAAAGATCGCAGGCTTGCTTGAACCCTACTGAACTGCCCCCCCCCCCCAGGTAGTTGCAAAGCCATCAAACTGAAGATTTCCAGCAGACCGGCTGCGCGATTCTGGTTGGTATTGCGGAGCCTTCAGCTGGAAGTGCTGCTTATAAGCTAAGCGCTCCCACTACACCTTTCTAGGACAGGGGAGAGGAGAAGGTTCGAAGCCTCCGAAGCTCGTTCAATAACCCTGAGCTTCCAATACAGCGACACATGTGCAGGAAAGAGATTGATAGGGGAGGAGGCTGGAGGAGGGACACAATACCAAGTGTGGCGTGACGGAAGTAAACAGATTTTGCTGCCAATCTGCGCTGACTCAGAAAAGAGATAGTCGAGTAGCTGGAAAGGCTGTTGCGGGCGAAATACCTCGTGCAATCAGTGTAAAGCAGCAGAGCCTGCGCACGGTCCAGCAGTGCGCGGTCGTACTTCACTCCGTCAATGACTCCTCAGCGTATGGGTCAGCAAGCCCGTTGTTGGCGTGGTGTTCCCGACAGGCACCTGTTGCATACCCAGGAAACCCAACACTCACCCAGGAAAGCTTCACGTGCACATGCATGCGGGTTGGGGGCAGGGACGCTCGTGTCAACCATATTCCGGCTTGGCTGCTGAAGGCATCACCGGTTTTCGCCCTCTTCGCAGGACTTTCGTAGGGCGATGGCATTGGAGCTCTTAAAGTCTTGGCAGTCTTGGAGGTGAGGCAGAACTTGCGAAGTGTGGCCTGAAGAGTACAATGCGACCTAGGTGATCGGATATTATTTCCGTCTTGGGTTGATGCCTGGCTTCCAGCAAGAATGTTCTGTTCAAGCTCATCATGTTCTCATCTTCCGAGCCGAATTGCAACGTGTGCGACAGACTGTACTGCCAACGCACAATCCTGCGACATCAGCCTGCAATCACCACTCCAAGATTTTGTTCATGAGGTGGGCCCCAAGGCGCTCGTGCTCTGGCGCATTTTAGCGCGCTTCGCGTCGCCGCCGTGACATCTGCCTGCACGTAATCTCTCCAAGGCGCAGAAACTCCACCCTTCGCTTAGCACCTCTAGTGTCGTATGCTCCCTGGCAAGAAAGATCCAGGACGGTGCCTGCAGCGCTGCAGCACTTCCTCACAAGAAGCTACCGGTCCTAAGTTCACAAGCAGTGCATCGACTATGGCATTTGCAATTCCGGGATGTGAGTCCTGAAAGCGTTCCACTCAAACTGGGATTCAGCGTTGCAAGCTCTGACTTGAGGTGCCTGACCCGCATGGACTCAGGACAGCACCGAAGCAGGGGAGCCTGCGATGCTGCACAACACCCGTGTCCCGCATAGGTCTGCTAGAGCTGCTAGAGTTCCACAACCCGGAAACGCTGCCTGATGTCCGCTGAGGCCAAGATTCGTCGGAAGCCTCAGAGAACTTGGAGTCGCCAGAACGCGAGCTGCCGTGATGGTGATGAGTAAGTGCACAACCGGCAACAACAAGAGGAAGGGAAAGACTAAAGGAGGAACAAATATGGAGAGGAAACTTTCCGACTCCTCTGAAAAAAGCCACATATTGCCCAAGAATCAACGATGCCAGGACTTGTTGCTTGTGCCCCTGTCTAGAAATACGCGTAACACTTGTTCGTGCAATGTGTTGAGACGCAAAAGAACGGCATCAACACAGCTCAGCCTTCTGCAATGAATGGGTACACTACCTCCCAAACCGCAATATCAGTCCATAGGAACGTATGCGATCAGTACTGCCGCACTTACGTCATGATTATAACAGAAGAAGGGACAGAATTAACAGTAGCAGGTCGTGGGGTCGCCGCCTGTGTCGCACTGACTGCAATAGCAAACGTAGCAATAACGACTATCGAAAGAAACACTACCTACCAACACCAGTACTGCTGCTGCTATGGCAGCTAGTGCTGCTACCACTACCAATACTGGACATGAACAGAGACAACACCTACAGATATCGCGCCACCACCACCACCAATAACAGCAAGAGCTTGCAGCAGCGGCGAAGTCGTGGTGAAAGGAATCCGACTTCCACCAGCCGTCTAGAACCATGTAGTGATCAAAGAACTTTCAGTAGAGTTCGGGACGACTCCGAACGTGTCCGAGAGCACCATGAGCCGCCGACGCAACATACAAACAAACCTGGTAGAAGTATACCAATTTCTATGAGCTTTCTTGATCAGCATGGCTTCGATCACTTGAGCCTGTTGTCCAATGGGTATTTCTTGTCATGATGCGTGCACCCCGAACAGGGCTCCGGCAATGCCAAAAGCGATGGGTCCGGCATGGACATCATGTCCAAAGGCAGGTAAGGCCTCAGAGGCTGGGGCCTTCGGCGTTGAGAGCTCAGGGCCAGGTTGTTGAGATACTGCATACCGGGTTTGATGCTGCGCGCTGTTGATTGACTTACGAGTAGGAACCTATTTGGCACCGTACAGCGCAGCTCCTTTTAGCCTGTGCAAGCACAGGCTTGTGACGGGCGTGGACTCCAGGCCTCATGCAGCGGTTGAGAACGTTCCCGTGATGTGGGCCCTCCATACAGGCGAGCCTAGCAAAGTCGGTCATGACATGATCCAAGCTCCATATGCTTCCGAAATCCGAAACCCTCATGTGCTCTTAATGTACCAGGTACACCAAGGCTGGATGTGAATCTGAGAAGATACGGCATCCCTGACAGCCGTGCGGTCACAGCCCCAAGCCACGCTCAGAAACCCTCACAAGTGAAGCCAAGTGCTTGGCGGATCCACCTTGGCAAACGTCGAGAACAAAAAGGAGATGCTCCGGGGACAGAAACGTTTGGAGGCATCGGCATCTTCAGTCGAGATGCGTTCAGCATCAGAGACCCAGTCTCTAGCAGACTCCAGCACTAACCTTCGGAGGCATGATGATGGCGATGACCCTGGCGATGATGGAAATAATTCAAAAGGTGGTCGTGACAAGTAGGACGAGGAAGAGGATCATGTGACCGAGAGACCGAGTCACTGTAACGAGTTGGGCATAGGACGTTGTGAATGACAGGATCCCGAGTCCCTGTGAGCCTTCCCATTTGGCCCCCTGCGCCAGTTGGCATCTTCAGCGCCAGCCCCAACCTTAGTGTAAACCGGCAGCGAACCCCAAAGCAGCGACAGCAATAAGTTATAGGGGGGGAGGCAGACCTCCGCTTCTAGGCAGATGCTGGCTCTGAGCCGAAGGCTGCCTTGCAAAGAACTCCAAGTCGTGGGCCTCGGACTCTCTGACTCTGGCTCTGACTGGAGCTCTGGCTCTGGGATTCACGGGAATCCGTCCTCTTGAGCAAAGCTCATGCTTGGTCTTCGATCTTCCCGGACATGCTCGGAATCTCAGGGCTCTGGCATAATTTGCCGTGTCGGTTGCGTAGTGTCGCACCTGTGCATCCAACCAAATCAGCGATTCATTCGTCCATAATCTCATGATCAATATATTTAGCTCCTAGTCCTAGGCAAACCCCACAAAACCCCATTGCCATAAAATGGGCCTTCGGGTCAAGCTTTGGCGCATGCATCATCTCCTCTGCTTCACCTCTGCAGCGGAGCTACGGAAGGCCAGGACCCGGCACACTGCGAAGCCAGGTCCGGGACGTCGAGTGAAGTACAGGACCCGGGCAAGCTCGGCAACCTGCCAGGGGCTCTGGGACCAGGCAGAGAGCACGCAAAGGCTTTAGGAGGAAAACCCCGAGAAAGGCTTCCAAGCATACGCGACTTGCTTGCATCCAAAGGCCCTCAGATGCAGCCTGAGGGTCCGGCAGGTCCAGTTATCTTGTTATGTGGCACATCCACACCTTTTGGACTTTTCGTATAGGGAAAAGCAAACACCATGGCACGCATATCCTTGAAGTCTGCACTGTCGATCTCAGGCTCCAGCTCACCTTTGAGCAACCGTACCTGCAAGCACCAAGAGGCAAACTCGAACCTCTGCAGAGCCCTGATTCTTTCTGTGACATCTCAATCGAACTCGAAACGTAACACCCAGGCCCTGGCCCTGTCTCGTAAATCCTGAACTTCGTGAGGTCCCTACATGTGGCGGTAGCTTAATGGAGATCCTTGTAAGTCAAGGCCTCTGACTTTCATGTGCAGCGCGTAGTTCAGCAGCCCAACGCGATGCACCAAGGCTTCGGTGATTCATCTCCCTTCTTACCCATCGACATTATAATGTGATATGGTGTAGTAGTGGGGCCCTTAGCCTCCAACCTGCCAACTCCCATACTCCACTGAACCCCTTCAGAATTCTGATGTCTTCGGTGACCACTTTCGTGGCGCACGGCACTCGGTCGAACTCCGAAATGGCCTGGCAAAAGCCGGGCTCGTGGCAAGGTCGCTGGTTGTCGCCATGATCATGGCAGCATCCTAGCATCCTAGTGGCACTTGCCGCTATACGTGACGCCTGGGCTCCCGTCGCGAAGGCTATCTCACCGAGAGCCTGCTTGCCTGTGCGTTGGGCACGGGTGTAACAGATGACGGAGGGGGCATATAACAACCCTCTCCCCAAACCTTGAAGTCTCGTCTACTTTCACTCTTGCAATGCACAAGTCGTTTCCAAGTTCAACGGATCGGTATTGACGTAGGTGTCTTCGCCGCGGGTCGTCGTTGTTGCGCTTTTCCGTTTGCCGGTGGGGTAGTACAGTAGATGAATCAATCATGGTTTATTTCGGTTAGCGTTCGAAGGTGCAACAATCTCTTGGGTTGAGATTTAGCGTAGCGACTTTGTAGCTTGCCGAAACTGCTTTTTTTGGGAGCCTATGGGGGTAGATCTGAGGGTGTGCTGAAGCCCACTCGAAAGCTCCGCGATGGATCCTGGATTGAATCTGTTGTCGCAGCCCTACGCCCTCCTGGCACTCCAGTGCTGAGGTCGCGTCCCATGTGCTCAGCGGCGCAATGTGATTACGACTCCATGGGCAGCACCGGCTCGCAACGCAAATGCAGCAGCCGGCATTCGTACTCACTGTGAAAGATGCCCTGTCTTCGAAGCAATTCTTCACTCATTGGCAGCTTCGACACCTAAGTGACCTATGCAACCTGGGATCTGGGTTATGCTCGGATGGCTGGTGAACATCTGCTCCTGACCTGGTCGGGGCTGCGGTAGCACAGCGAAGTGGCACATCGCGAATCCGCGAGCCCGCAATTGTGCGAAGCTAGCTCGACTCGTTACTACGACTTTCCATCCGCTTTACATGGGATCTTTCTCCGTTGCAAGCAGCTCTTGAACTGCAAAACTCCAGTAACTACAACGCCTGGACGTCCAGCAACGCCAATCGATCCTCCCGGATTCAGCTGCGCGCCATGAAATAGGCGCCCAGGAGGGTGAAGAAGGAGCCCAGCAGTTTGCTCTTCGATAGCTTCTCGCGCATGAAAACGGCGGAGAGAAGCAGCGTGGCAGGCGGATAGGATGCAGTAATTGCAGACACTGCCCCTGCATCACCATGCACCATCGCCCGAGTGTAGCACATGTTAGCCAGCGCCGCAGTTACTCCACTCAGCAACGATGCCAGAATCGCAAATTTCGATTGCGAGAGAAGGCCAGGGCTGGAGGGATCGCCCGAGGAAGAGGGCTTCAGAATGACCGCCAGGGTGAGAAAGAATCCCACCTTTTCCAAACCAGCCTCCTGAGAACCCGAGAGACCACGCACCAAAGCCAGCTTTCCCAAGAAGCCCCAGAAACCATAGAGAATCAGGCAAGCGAAACTCGGGGTCAGCCAATCTGCTCGAACAGGGGCCATGCTCACACTGGAGCACGGTGCCATGAGATGGTGCCCCTTGAACCAAAGCTGTGCAGTTTCTTTGCGCTACGGGTCACACAAACCCTGGCCCAAGCTTTCAGACTGTCGTCCAGTTAAACTCAGCTGCATGGAGTTATGGAGCCGATTTTGGCTTGGGACCTTGACGGGACAGAACCTTAAACCAAGTCATGGCCAGAGAGCACGTTTCCACCTCGCATTCATGAATTGCAGAAGCACAGACGTCGGTTGATGCATGTTTTGCTCGCCACGGAACGTGGCCTCGTAGGAGTTTGCATGTCCGAAGAAGTCAAGCCAAAACTGACGTTGTATTGATTGATGCCACCATTTGCTGGACACATCAGGGATGCCGAAAACAGACCTTTTTCTCGGCTGAGGCGACGCGGTGTGCATTGCCTTCAAGCAGCGCAACCTTCTTAGCTATTAGTATCGCCAGTATGCAAGCTATCGATGCCAATGCAGACGTAGGCTCATTTTTCCCGGAGACTAGTAGCACACTCCAGTAGGTAACCGCAGGCTTGCAGGCAAAGCACGAGGGGTGTCTTTGAGCTGAAGCGGGACAGCTTGTGCCTGTTCCCTGCAGCATGTCAAGGAGATCTAGGAGATGCGTCAGATCTCATGCTGTTGCCAGCAGTGTGTCTGTGAGCTGGTCTGACAGCTGTGCTTGCTTCCGACACTTTGTCTCGAACTCGGGTTTGTCATTGTGTGCATCGTCGCAACTGCACGATTCACTGAATTCGACAGCGCTACTGACATGCAGCGCATGTCACTACAGTCTTGGGGCGACTCGATGTCGTACGAGATATCGCGATTCGTGACTAGTGAGTCAAGATGGTTGGCTTAGCCTAGCATGCCATACACTATCCAAACGTGCATCCTGACGCAGGCATACAGGCTGTAAGCGTGGGCTACAGGCAGGGTTGGGATTGGGAATGTGCAGAATGTCATTCTGAGGCATTCAGAGCTGCCGCGAAGCGACTCTTCAAGACTTCACAGACCTCAACACAGAACACAGTAACGGTATGCTTTTGAACGAAGACCATGCATCCTGACACACCTCCTAACCGTCTCTCCTGTACGAAGCCAGCAGAAGAAGCGGACCTTCTCCAGATCCCCGGACTCCGCCAGCTTTCCCGCGACCTTGTCGAACAAGTCCGCGTCGACGCCTACAGCCACCAGTCCTCATGGGCCAATACCAGCAGTCGGTCGGGTTGGAGCTACATCAGCCCTACCTTCTTGGCTGCATGACTCAAGAGCATCAGCAGCTGCAGGGCTCTCGAATTCTGAGTGATGTAAGCACCGACTCGGAAAGTCTACTGCGTGCTATGGCGGTTGCCAGCACACCTAGAGTGATCTACTGCAAGCACCATCGCACAGGCACAGCTTGTTGTTGCTGCTATCCGCGATGCTACACCAGCATGACCGAAGTGTGCCCCTTATTCCTGAAGTCACATCAACCTCCCTAAAGTGAGCCCCGGTGCATCGAATTGACACTGCCGATTGCTGTATCTGCCCGAACAGTAGGTGGAGTTCATGATGCCAACCACCCGGGCGATGTTCTTAGGGCGGAATTCATTGCACCCTCGAAATGTTTGCAACTTCCAAGTTCTCGACCCCGGATATGGTTCTTGTTCTGCGAAGCGCCGAGGATTGCCGGAGGGTTAGATGTATTGCTTGAGGTGCGCTTGCATGATTTCGGGTGACGAAGCGGTGGTAAATGGTACATGGCATATGCCCACTGACAACACCGCAGTTGCGCAGCCTCTGCGCATGCTGTTCAACTTCTGGCGTGGATCTGGAGGTGCCTCAGCAGAATCCCCTGATGCAGCCGCCTAGCCGACGAGAATTAATGGAGCTATGACATTGGAAGTCTGATGTGCTGTGAAGGCCTTCTCAGCATAAATCTCACATCCTTGACTGGGTTCGCGAGCCGCTCGGGAGGAATAGCACGTAAAGGTGTTACGCGGAAACACGCAGTACTTCAGTCCAGCGACCTACCTAATTGTGACTGGTCCAATGCCAAGAAGACAACGTTCCCAGTACCGATCGAGCCAACACAGCAAGCCATCTCTAAAAGCGGTCAGCAATACCTGGGCAACCTTTCGCCCTGGATCCCAACCGACACGCACAAAGTATCAATTCAAGATATTTCAAGCTTCTACCAGTGCAGAGTCTCGCATCCATGGGACATCGTAACCGCAAACGATTACCGACATCATGGGAGCCGGGCATTGGCGTCTAGGCGAACAGGGGCCTCACCAAGACGGAGAGAACGGCTGGGCTGGGCTTCGACATGGTTTGACCGAACTCTTTCCAATTGCACGTCTTGTGGACTCGGGCAGGGCGGGACCCACAGAGGGTCTTTTGCCCTGTTGTTCAGTCCCACTAATTTTTGCTGGGCGATTGCTATGGAAGAGGAATCACAGACGGGTGCAGGATAATCGTACGGCAAATGTCCACGCCATGCTGCACAGCTATACTTCGGCACAGCTGGGAGGCCGGCGGTATCTGCACGAAGGTCGGCGCCACCGAGGAAGCGCTGGCACAGCAGACAAGTCTTACATGTACGATGGAAGGAAGCAGGTCGAGGCCGTACAAATGTAGAGCGAGCTTAGCTTCTTTGCAATGCCGAAGCATATCCGGTTTGGGAGTGACTCATGCCGAAGATGCAATTCTACGCACACCTATATAGATGTGCACACAGCACTCCTGCTTTATTTGCACATGCACGGCCACAATACAAGCGTACGTATACATATACATATACCTACGCATATGCATATACAGCTACATCTACATATGCATGTATGTATGTATATGTATGTACATATGTATGTGTGCATCTGTCTGTCTGTCTGTCCGTCTGTCTGTCTGTCTGTCCGTATGTATGCATGTCTGTGCGTAATTGCGCACGTATGCCTATATGTATGAATGCATGCCTGTATGATCATGTATGTGTATACTATAATTACTACGCTTGTATGTTTGTGTCAGCATGCGTATATATTTATATATGCGCATAGCTAAGGAAATATCTAAATACATATGGTTATATATGTATTATATGTATACACATGTTGTATTGCGCTTGTTCATTTATAGCTCTATATACATGCACACATGCATGCATGCATGCATGGATACAAAGAAGGGTTAGCTGTACTTGCCCGTGCGGCAAGATACCACAATAATAACTTGGAGGTCGGGGTTTGGAGCAACACGGAAGTTGCTTCAAAATCCAATTTTTGTGGACGGAGGCCGATGCGAAATCGGTCTTGTGCTACTCACGCCGGCTGCTCATTTCAGATATCACCAGAGAGTGATTCCGAATTCTTCGGAAGGTTGGCTTATTCAGATAAGGAATGACACCGATGCAAAGCAGGGGTGTGCAATAAAGGAGTTCCAGGGCTGCTCAGACAATGCGAGGGCACGGGAATGCATGCATTTTGTAAAGCATACTGCAGCATACCTGTAGCTGAAGCAACATCCCATTGCAACAGCTCTTGTTCGAACGATTTGTCTACCATCTTCCGCTCCACTCGGTCAGGCAAATGTGCACTGCAACTTTTTCATGCCCGGCGAGGTCTGGTTCAGTCCAACTCCTTCCCCTGTTGGACCTCTCAGAAGGCAGCTTAGGTTTTGGCATAGTTTGTGCATCAGCTGAACACTGCGATAAACTTTAATCGTTGAAGGTTCAAGCAAGGAGAAATTTGGACACTTGCGAGTAGTGGCTGCCACTGCCACTGCTGCTACTGCTACTGCTACTGCTACTGCTACTGCTACTGCTACTGCTACTGCTACTGCTACTGCTACTGCTACTTCTGCTGCTTCTGCTACTTCTGCTAATGCTCTTGCTCCGGCTGCTGCTCCTGCTCCTACTACTGCTAGTGCTTGCCCCCCAACCCCCTCTTCACCCCCGAAAAAAACCTCCAAAATCCGAAGAGCGAGTTTGCAAAGTCGACAAACCGATTTTGAGGCTACATAAGATGGTCCGATATCACGAAAGTACTGTAAATATCAAGTATAATGGATGTGCTGATGTGCCGTTAAAAGTACAACTACTACACGTACCTGCTGGACTGGCCGAGGACGAGGACTAGGAGTAAGAGTGGTGAGTGGTAGTCCATGGGTAGCGGTACAATATAAGTCACCTGGTGTTGGCGTCGCTAGCGTCTTTGCAGCTGTTGAATTGGCAGCATCAGTGTTGCTCGCATCATCTCAAATGCAACGGGAAGTGGACAACAGCCGGGTGATGCCGCGTGTGCCAGCCTTTACAGCGTCAGCGGCTTGAACAGTAGTTTTTGCTTGCTGGTTCCGCAGAAGATTCCCTGAAACCCTCCCGAACCGGACAAGCTGAGGCCCCACAGCTCAAGATCACCCCAGCCCTGAGCCACTACCCTGAACTCTAAACACTGACTTCCAACATCCAGCCTCACAGCGCAATCGCCGGCCCCAATGGCCCCGCTGCATCCTCCGGGAAGGATCGCACTCACTCAGCCCGAGAGCCAATACCTTTCTCAATCGCATCAAGAAGGCATCGCACCTGGACTGCCTGCAAACGGCAGCCCTTAACAATCCAAGAGCTCAACAGGAAGACCATCTGCTGCAACCCTTGGTTTGTAGGGTCCCGCCTTGCAGACTTCGCCACGTGAACTGGAACGGGTACAGCAGGCTCAGCTGTCAAGTCGCCTAGGGAGGCACGTGCAAATGGACGATGGTCGAAGCACGGCCTGCGCCTCAGGCCGGGGCATGTGTTGCACGCCGCAACCTGGGAGTCGACAAGACCGGAATGTACAAACACTACAAAAGCCAGGCTTCAAGAACCAGCGGGCCCCGCACCTGCCCTCGCGAGGCTTCCGCCGAGGCCTCCAAGGGCGCCAAGGACGCTTCGGCCGGCAGCTCCCGAAGAAAGCGCCTGCAAGGAATTGGGCTTTGCCAGGCGCAGGCTTGAGCTGAACTTCAGCATTAACCATGTCGTTTCTCTTCTGCGCCTCGTCATTTCGCAA